GGTAGTTAGAATGGAAGGACGAATGCGATGGATGGGATGTAACATTTCAGCCAAGGAGGTACCTGCAGCATTTCGTGTTTGCAGCATCAATTCCACACCAGGAAGTTGGGCCGGTGGTCGGCCCTACGGACACATACCTAAATGACCGCTGGCAGCCGCATGGGTTTCCCAGGTTCTATGCTTCCATTTCTTCCCCAAACGTTGCCTTCCGTTAGCCGTGCCTCATTCCCGTCATCAACTTCCAACATGCCTAGGTATCTAGCCTGCGTGCCTGCTTCTTGACCAGCCTCGGCCCTACGATGCAGTTTGTCCCCGGGAACGCACGGCACGTGTCCTCGGAGTGCTTGGTCTACCTAGCTGCCAACCGACCCCTGGATGATCTGTCTTGGAAGTGGAGCAAACAAGCTCAAGCTGATGCTGAAGATAAGATGCCAATCTCAGGGCATCTAAGGTACATGCAGCATGTGCTGTAGTATTGAAGGGTTTACTACAGGTACCTTGCGTAGCGGCAGCGGCAGCAGTATGATGAAGGCCATCGTCTACCTACCTTACTAGAGCTTTGCCATTGATTTCTTACGACCAGGTAAGATGAGTACACTTTTCTTTCCACTCGACCCTGTTTGCCCCGTGCCCCGTATTCGTTCTACACTGCCCCTCCACCGTTAGTATTTCCAAGGGGTTAAACTTGCTTTCATTGCATTGAACACCTCATTCTATTCAGCTTTCAGACGGACAAATCACAGCTGCCCACCGAAACCCTTGAAACCCAACTCCCCCCCCCCACGACATGAGCCTTTGATAGGTAGGCTGGCACAACTCGGCGGGACCTTACCGTAAGGTACCTTACTGCCCGTACGATTCGACAAATACGTAAGATAGCTAGGAGAGGAGACTCTCGTCCCATCCATCTGAGGTAGTTCCAACTTCCAGGCCCATAGCTGCAAGCATTGAAGGCCACCCACTCACGGGAGTTCGGACACACGGACCATCCGCTGGTGTCGTCTCACCTTCAGCTCCCTTCACCGCATCCATCTACCTGGGTCCAGAGGTGCTGAGGTGCATGGTCCCATCTGTAAAGTACCGGGGGATAATAGGTACTACCCACGGTATCCGTAGCTATCTAAGCTTGCAGTTGGCTACCTCCCCAGCTCCCCTCGCACTTACCCCTCTGACGTCGCTCTCTGGACCCTGTTTCATCGCCGCCTTTACCTAACACCAACTCCGAGTTCCCCTCCTCCTCCAAAGCTTCCTTCAAAGACATTCACCTGCTTTAGACCGGGACTCTTACAACTCCCACATCTTCCGTGACACCTTTTTTCATTCCCACCTCTCTATTCCTACTCTCTCCCATTTCGGCCTCATTTCAGCTCAAAAGCAGCTCCCCGCCGCCATGGATCACATCTTCCGAAAGGTGGAGCGGGGCATCGACGCCCTTTTTGGGGATGAGCGACACGCCCACACTCACTCGGGCCACGAGTGCCATGAGCATCATCCCGCCGGTCACGCCGAGAACAGATTCCAGTCTTTTGCGCCTCAGACCACCGGCAATGCCAAGTGGTACGTCGACGGATGCTCCTACTTTTGGGCCGTTTCCGAAGCTATCGAACGTAAGCTTGCACCACGACCATACTCATACCCCAAGCATCACTCATCTCTCTCTGACCATCTGAGCTGCAGAGGCCCGCGAGAGCATTTACATCTTGGATTGGTGGCTGAGCCCGGAGCTGTATCTACGCCGCCCTCCCTCTCAGAATGAGCGTTACCGCATCGACAACCTGCTCAAGGCTGCCGCCGAGAGGGGTGTCAAGATTAACATCATCGTATACAAGGAGGTTGAAGCCGCCTTGACCCGTGAGTGATCCCAACGCCAAGCAGTCATCTGAACCCCATGCTAATAAGTAACGACAACTAGTCAAGTCCTCTGTAAGTCAACATCAGTTGTGTCAATGTATCAACAATATGTGCTCATAGAACTCGAGTCATGCTGACATTCTCATCAAGCACACAAGGACCTACCTGGAAAGCCTTCATCCCAACATTGGCGTGTTTCGACACCCTGACCATGTGCCCACCGGATACGACTTCCAGGCTGAGCTCAAGCAGAACTTCGCCAACATGAACGTCAACACCTTCACCCTGTCCAAGGCTTCCGGCGATGCCATCAAGGCCATCTATGGTACCGCCACCGATGGAGTCACCCTGTTCTGGGCCCATCACGAGAAGCTCTGCCTGATTGACGGCAAGATTGCTTTCATGGGAGGTCTCGATATGTGTAAGTCGTGATGCCAAGCATATATGTCACTCACTAACAGCTTTACAGGCTTTGGCAGATGGGACACCAACAGTAAGCCGAACCCATCTTTCAAGTTCACAGGAGCCGTGTTTAACAGGAACAGGCCATCCCATTGCGGACGCCCACCCCGGCAACCTGGATGCCGTCATTTTCCCTGGCCAAGACTACAACAATGCCCGTGTCTACGACTTTGCTGACGTCGACAACTGGGAGCAGAACAAGCGTGAGCGAGGCCTGGAAGGCTATGCCTTTTCTCTATGCTAACACTGCACCAGTCGACCGCACCAAGAGCTCTCGCATGGGCTGGTCCGATGTCAGTCTCAGCTTGAGCGGTCCTATCGTGGCAAACTTGGCAGACCACTTCGTTGATAGATGGTCCGTATTAGGAATAGTTGATCCCAATGGCGCCAGAGTTGAATACTGACAATGAGTAGGAACTTCATCTACGGCGAGAAGTACGGCAAGAAGAACCCTGGAAAGTACCAGGCTCTGGGAGGAGCAGCCGCCAACGCGGACGCCGGCAGAATCGCCGAGAATGAGACGGAGAGCGGTGGTGGCCACACTAGCCACCTCTTTGGCGATCTCTCTGAGCGTATCAACCGAGGTATCAGTCGCATGGCGGTCAGTGACGACAACCAGGACGATGGTCCCGTTAGAGTCGACCGTGGCAACCGTGCTGCCAACATCCAGCTCACCCGAAGGTAATCAACATTCTCATCTTAACGACGTAAGATACTGACGGACTATCACAGCTGTACGGAGTGGTCTGCTGGTCACCCAACCGAGCACTCCATTGCGAATGCCTACATGCATGCCATCACCAACGCCCAGCACTACGTCTACATGGAGAACCAGGTACACTCCCCCGTCCCCCTTTTCTCCCTCACCTTCATCCACACGCCAATCTAACACAAAACGAAGTTCTTCATCACGGCCACCAGCAAGGAACAGCACCCCGTCACCAACAAGATCGGCCGCGCCATCGTGGACCGCATCATCCGCGCCCACCAAAACGGCGAAGACTTCAAAGTCATCGTCGCCATGCCCGCTGTCCCCGCCTTCGCCGGTGACCTCAAGGCCGACGACGCCCTCGGCACCCGCGCCATCATGGAGTTCCAATACAACTCCATCTCCCGCGGCGGACACTCCATCATCGAGACCCTCCGCTCCGAAGGCGGCATCGACGACCCGGGCCGCTACATCCGATTCTACAACCTCCGCAACTACGACCGCATCAACACCTCCTCCACCATGGCCGACGCCGAAGGTCGCTCCGGCGTCCGCTACGAGGACGCCCGCCGCGAGCACGACGACAACGTCGGCGCCGGCTACGGCGAACAGGGCCAGGGCTACGGCACCCGCGGCGACTCCCAGTACGAACGCTACCAGGAGGCCACCTCCCGCGTCTCGGACCAGACCTGGGACACCGTCTCGGCGTGCTACATGGACAGCGGCCGCGACCTGCACTCGGTCCCCTGGCACGGCGAGCCCGAGGCCGAGCTCGACGCCTACGTCAGCGAAGAGCTCTATATCCACTCCAAGCTCCTCATCGCCGACGACAGCCTCGTCATCTGCGGCTCCGCCAACCTCAACGACCGCTCCCAGCTCGGCACCCACGACTCGGAGATCGCCGTCGTCATCGAGGATCCCACCCCCATCGAGTCCGAGATGGCCGGGCGCCCCTACACGGCCTCCAAATTCGCCACCTCCCTCCGCCGCCAAATCTTCCGCAAGCACCTCGGCCTCCTGCCCGACCAACCCTGCGACCGCCCCAACGGCAACTGGACCTCCATCGAGCGCGGGCCCAACGAATACGACTGGGACTCCCCCGCCGACCGCCTCGTCCGCGACCCCATGTCGCGCGAGTTCTGGGACCTCTGGCAAGGCACCGCCCGCACAAACACCGAAGTCTTTACCAAGGTCTTCCACAACGTGCCCAACGACCGCGTCCGCACCTGGAAGGATTACGACGAGTTCTTCTCCAAATACTTCATCATCCCCGGCGCCAAGAAGGAGGACGACAAGCAAAAGGAAGAGGAGGCCAACCGCGGCAAGGTCGAGTACGGCCACGTCGTGCGCGAGGAGTTCCCCGGCGGCGTGCGCGAGGTCAAGGACTGGCTAAAGCGCGTGCGGGGCAATATTGTTGAGATGCCGCTCGACTTCCTCGTCGACGTGGACGATATCGCAAAGGAGGGTCTGTCTCTCAACAGCTTCACTGATGAGATTTACACGTAAAAAAATAAAAATAAAAAAGACGGTGTGATGATGATCGGTGTTCCGTTTGTAGGACATGAAACAGAATCAACAAAAAAGTAGGAGAAGAGAAGAAGAAAAAACCAGATTTGGGGCGGATCATAGAAACAAATGAAAGAATGATGCGGGTGAGACAGTTTGGAATTTAGAGCCGTGGGAGGAAACAAATGACTCTTTTTTTCTGGGTGGGATTTTTCAAAGCAGCCTCTTCCGGTCCAAAGTCTCGTGTGTGTAACAATGGAACAACAGCTTCTCATTCAAACACTACTACTACTACCCTTTCTACAACCACATCTCCTGAAATACCCGACTCCTCAGGATTGCGAGCCAAAGTGAATCCTATCAGTCGGTAACATCATGTCAATACATGCGAAACATCGTCACAGCAAAAGTCACTCACATCAACAACTGTGCCCAAAGCTACGCACAAATCGAGGCCGAGAGCCATGATGAGTGAAACTGTCAAACAAACAATGTATAATCTGTCAAAGTGGCACGTAGACGCGGAGGCGTTGGTTATATTTCCTCCTCCTCCTCCGCTGCCACCGCCGCCGCCAAACGTAGGGAGTATTTATTATACAGACCTCTAGGCCATATCGGCCAATTCCCACACCAAAGAGAGAGACACAGACACGCAGCGGGAAAAAAGAAAAGTAATAAGAAAAAAAGTCCCCGTCAACTCCGTGAGTAATTCACCTCAATGCTTTGGGTTTTTAATACGTCATCTGCTTTCCCTTCGTGGACGTGAAGAAAAGCACAAAAACACACACCCTTTTGACGTCAATGTTCCCCAAATCGTCGTAGCCTCATTCATGGCCTTCCCATTAGTCCAACTTGCCAAGATCATGCTGTGCCGGGCACCGCTGCTCCTCCAGCCTCTTCCATTCTTGCTCGAGCAAGTTCAACTTCTAGTCCACCTTGCCGTTGCCATTGGGTCCCAGGAGACCCTCCTTCATCAGCTCCTTGTTGCCCCATGATTCTTCCAGGCGGAAGTGGCCGCCACGGCCCTTGCGGGACCGGCTGCGGAACCATGAGAAGGCTCCAAAGGCCAGGCCAAGGATGCAGCCCATGGTCAGGTAGGGGTGCTCGACAAAGGTGACACGAATGTCAAAGAAGATCTTCTCAAAGCTCGAGATGGTGAGCTTAGGCTTGATCTTGGGCGGCGAAGAGACGACCTTGTTAATGGTCTCCAAGATCGACGTCCGAGACAAAAGGATGTTGTTGCCAGTAATAGTGGTATCCCAGTAGCGGCGGTTCTAAATATCAAGTCAGTCTGGCTGCTCATATGCATCTGTATGTCGGCTGTACTTACATCCTCGTCGTTGATAATGACACGGTCTCCGTCCTTGGTATCAATGCCATAGGTGGTACGGATCCATCTCTGCCAGAAGACACTATCAACCCAGGCAAAGCCAACCTGCTTGCGGTCCGACTTGTCCATGTTGATGCGGATGGCCTTGGCTGCGCGCAACGCACGCCCATCGCCGCGGTCATCAGCCTCATCAATTCTGAGCTGCTTGGCATCTCGAAGCTCTTGTCTTTCGTGCTGGAAATTCTGGATCTGCTTATCCATCCACTCGTTGGCAGCACTCTTCAACTCGCGCTTGGCTCTGAGGAAGCCTTCCTGGTCTTCCCTGTTGACGATTCCGAGGACGACAACCTTGCCATCCATGATCTCGCGAGCATTGGAGGCGGTCATCTCAGGAACAATCGGAAGCCAGACTGACTTCATCCAGTTCAAGACTTGGTGAATATCACGCATCTCCTTGGGTGTCAGCGGCTGGTAGTATGTGGGACGGCCCTCTCTGGAAACGAGCAGGCGAGGCCAGGTCGTGATCTTGTAACGGGCGAAAAGAACGGGATCCTTGGTCTTCACAAGCTTAGCCCTGCCAATCAGGCTGAGAGGGATGCGCTCAAGAGCCATGAAGTCCTCAGTCGTAGTGGCATGGTCGTAGAAGTAGATGAAGATGACCTCTTCCTTCTCCTCGAGGACCGCCAGGGACTCAGCGTCTACATCCAGTACTCCCTCGCTGATGTCGATGGCCTTGTTAGCGTAGTGAACGAAGTCGCCGAGGCCTCTCAGGCCATCGTACTCGACACGCTCGCCACCCTTGAAGAAGAGGATGGTGGGGTAGCCGCGGAGACGGACGTCCTTGCAGAGTCTCGTCTCCACGTCGCAGTTGACCTCTCCGATATTCAGACGACCCTTCATCTCCTTGGCCAGTTGCTGCCAGTTAGGTGCCATGGCCTGGCAGTGATGGCACCAGGGCGCGTAGAACTTGACAAACCAGGGGTCCTGGGTCATGGTGACCAAGGTCTGGAATCTCTCGGCACTCAGGGGCACAGAGGCACCTTCTTTGTTAGGCGTGACAGTAGGTTTCTTAACGACGGCCTTGGTAGGAGCGGCGATGGCCTTTTCGGTGGTGCTGGGCTTTGCATCTGCCTTGGCGTCGGCCTTTGCGTCAGTCTTTGTACCATTCTTCGCGTCGTCCTTGGCATCGCCCTTGGTGTCAGCCTTCGCATCGGTCTTGCCCGCAAGCTTATCGTCCTCCTTCGCGGGAGGAGCCTTCGGGGGGCCTTGGTCTCTTCCTTGGGCGGCGTCTTCTCGTCGGCCTTTGCGGGAGTCTTGCTATCAGTCTTGGCATCCGTCTTGGCGTCGGTCTTGTCGTCCACAGACTTCTTCGAATCGTCGGTCTTTCCAGGGGCCGCCTTTTCGGGAGAGGTCTTGTCGCCAGGCTCGGGATACTCGAGGCTGCGGGGCCTGGTTCCGGGCTTGGCCGCCTCGAGGTACTTTTCGAGGATGGGGCTGATCTGGTCAATGTCCTTGACACCCTTGATCAACTCGGCCAGCTCGCCATTCTTGTAGAGGACGGTGCTAGGGTACGACGCGATGTTGTGGGAAGCGCAAAGATCGAAGTAGGCCACGCAGTTAATCGTGGCGAAGCGGAAATCGTAGAGTTCGGTAAAGGTCTTGTCCTCCTTGGACTCGGGCTTCGAGGTGTAGTACCACTCGTAGAGGGTCTGGTATATCGGCGCATAGTCCATGCAATGCGGGCAGTAAGGGCTATTCCATTGTCAGCACGTTGCGCGAAGGGCAGGTAAGCGATAGCATGATCGGGTTACCTGTAGTGCTTGATAAGCATGAATTGCGAGGCCTTGACCTCCTTGTCGAAAGTATCCGGCGTCAGCTCGAGTATTGGCGGCACTTTCATGGAGTTGAAGTAGGTGTTCTCCCGTTCATCCTTTTCTGCCTCTGCTGCTTGAACCCCGGAGAGGAGGGTCGAGCCCAGGAACAGGAACAAAGGTGATAACCTCATTGCGGCGATGAGGGTGCACCGCATGAGTGCGATGACTTTGGAGCGAAAGATAAGTAGCAAATTCTGTCAGATGATGCCAGTAACGACGGCTGAGCAGACGCAAGCAATTGAAGGGGCGCGGCAAAGCGCGGTTGTGCCGTCAATTCGCAATGGGAAGGTGCAGCGTCAGATAGGTGTGGATCGAATGGGAAGTCGCGATTGAGGTGGTTCGAGGGGTTTGCAAAGGGTCTAGATAAAACCTTTTAGATCGCCGAAGACATGGAGGGTAGAAAAGTCGAGAAAGAAGCTAATGTTCCTTTCGTCGTCTGGGTCAAAGCCCCCCGAAAATCGTCCAGCGGCGTCGAAATGAAGGGGGGAAAAGGGTGGTGGTAGGTTAGGTTGGTGTTGCTTTTGGCAAAGGGGGAAGCCAAGCAAAGGGACCAGCGAAAGCGAGCGACAAGACTGGCAGGTCAGGAGAAAGACCGTGTGTCAAGATTCTGTAGCGCGGTCTAGGTTCTCTGGCTGCGCAACGGCTGGCACCAAGAACCAGAACCAGCCAAGCACGGAAAAAGAGGTATGCCTTGTATATGAGGCAACAACGGATGCTTTGTGCGTGTTCTGGGACTCTGGCAAGTCTGGCAGTTAGGCCACCGTCTCCACTGTCAGTCAACCCGTCCGTTCTTGGTATCCTCTGGCAGAGGGAGAACTGCGGGAACTTGTGGTGCCAGCTGCCCGCCTGCTCGATCTGTCCCCACTAACATTGGTTCATTTCGCCATTCAAAGTTGAGCAGAGTTCAATCTTGCATCTTGGGGCGGCAGCGGGGTGGGTCCAAATTGCGATAAGAATAGAAAGCTGCTTATCCATCTCAGATCGCCACTTCAATAGTCAATCGTTGACCACGCGTGCCACGCAAGAATCTCTGGGAACAATAGAAGAGTGTTCCAATGGCACGTGCGGATCGTCATCGCATCCCACGAGGGATAGGGAACTCAAGCTCGGGGCTAATTCAACCCCAACCATATGACCCTGAAGGCATAGCATTTTTTCGTTTGATCCCTAGCCAAACTCTTGTTCCCTCTACACTAAAGCTGAGTCGATGGCTAATCCACACCGTCACTGGTGGTGCTTGAAATCCCGCTGGAGCTGATAATATCACCATCCAATAAGCCCCGTTCAGAACCTCCCGAAGTAGCTAACAAGAAGTCCTCGAGATTGCGTTCTCGAATATCCTCCAGAATATTCTTGAAAGCCAACCACTCGTCAAACGTCGGCACTATCTCGCCCGGCTGTCTAGAGTCTTCCTTACCATACAGCCTGGCCGTCGTGATCTTCATTGGAGTATCGCCAGCCGCGTTCGCTTGATCAGGGTTCAAACCGCGGATATGAGCATCACTCAATATATCAATGAGCCCCCGGTTGGCACTCTGAGCCGCAAAATGGAGCACCCCGGAACCACGCTTATCTACAGCATCAAGCCTGGCCCCGTGTTGGATCAGAAGCTCCAACAACGCTGCGTTCCGCCACAGAATCGTGTCGTGAATAGGTGTTCTGCCTTCGAAACCCCGTTGTTTGGACGGTACGTTGAGGTCCATGCCGGCGTTGCAGAGCAGGTCGAGAGATCGGTCCCAGTAGCCTCTCCTCGGATCCCAACGGGCGACGTTACTTGTACGGCGAGCCCTGTACGAGAGCGGGCACACCCAGTTTGTGTCCGTCTCAACTACCAAAGCGCTTCCTCTCTGCAGTAGTACTTCTACGACATTGGGATTATCGAATGCGAACATGATAGCCGTCTCTCCTCTGGGCCCACGGTAGTTGTCGACCTGGGCATCAATATCTGCACCAGCGTCGAGGAGTGCTTGAGTCATCCTCACCGAACCAGTAAGTTCATACCGCGCTGCGTAATGCAGAGGTGTCCACCCACTCCTGGTAGCCGTCTCGAGGCTGGCACCACGATACAACAGCAAATCAAATGAAGCGTAATCGGCCAGATAGATTGCCCAGTGCAGTGGACACCATCCGTAGCCATCCAAGCTATCGATGTCAGACCGGGCTAGTGTGATTGCGTCTGACAAAGATGTCGAGACGGTCCCGAGCATTGCATCGTGAATCAAGGATGATGTCTCAACCTCTTGGGAGAACGTCAGTTTCTCAAGCATCCGACCATGCTCGGGCTTGAGAGACTGTATCTGGCTTTGCTTCGCGGCATAATAGAGCATGCGAGAGCGGGTAGCAGCGGTCCTGAGAAAGGTCAAAATGGGACTATCAACCGAGTATCGCACCGGATGAAGCTAGCTCACCAGCCAGTAACATTCTCGGCATGTAACGGCCACCCTTGCTCGACCAGGAATCCTGAAAGGGTCAAGTTGACGTCGCGCAGCGATATCTAAAGACGTTGCAAAACGTAACGGTAAGGAGCCGGCACGGTCTACGGATATCGAGATAAACGGACGTACCATCAGAAGAGAGTTCCCATCTTCATCTACATCAGTAGGTAGTACAGTTGAGTTGATGATTCCTCGTTTTATCCAATCGATGTCGGAGTGGTACACACTCGATATCATGACATCTCGCGGAATCAGTCGTGGCATACGGAGGCGAATCGAAGAGCCAACTCCGGTTAGACTTTCCCGAGAAGCAGCAACAAAGAGGGCACGTAAGAGTAGCCATCTGGGGAAGATGTATATCATCCGCGACGTAGCTGGTGCTCCAGCACAGTCCTGAAGGTCGCATTTTCTGGGCCCCAGCAATGATTTGTTGTTATACTCGAGGAAGAGGGTCCCAAATATCAAGCGTAGCCATGTCGGTGTCTGTAGCCTAGAGTAGTGATGACATTGGCATTTGCAATATGGTGTGCATTTCCGATGGACTACGGTTTGAACTGGCAGAATCGGACTGCAGCCGCTCTCTACATATCGTGGATCGTTGGCATTCATAGTGGAAGGCTGGTCTCTGCATTGTAGTGATTCCTCTGGTTCCAGGGCTTCTGCGCACATCTGGTTGAGAGAGGCCCTGATATCGTCTAAGCCGGCTTGATTCATAATCTGCATCTGTCGGTGTATCCTGCACTCTTTTTTCAAAGCCTGTAAAGAGCTTTCAACGAGCTGGCGAAATTCGAGTATAGCCCTGGCTTGATGGGAGCTGTTTGTCGTCAGCTACTCATTGAACAGCACTCATCTGTCAACCTTGCACTTACTCTGCGATGAGATAAGAGCACCAAAACAAAGCATCAAAGAAGCCTTGGTATTGCTTGCCCTGCACTTCAACTTCGCAATATTACTTCTCTCCCGGATCCACCTCGACATTGAGACTCGAAGTTGCCCGCTCATTTCATCGCTAGACTTTGTTCCCGTGAGACGATGACACAGAGCCAGGAGCTCCTCTTGTATACTCTCTAGATCCTGCTTCAAAGCCAAAGTCGGAGCTAATTCAACGTCGGAAGAGCAATATCCCCCTTCTCCAATTCCTGAAGCGGACTCTTAACCTGCTCGATGACGTCCTGGAGGGCAGTGAGTTCGTCAACGAGCTCACAAAAGTCCGCCGGGGCATGGCGAAGAGAGAGCAGTATTTTCACGCCTTTGCCAACGGCTGCCGATGCTTGTATCAAAGCAATGATGCTTGCGGCGGTAGACAGAGGATCCATATTGAGTTGAGCGTCGTGTGAAGATGATCCAAATGAAGCATGGATGCTCTGGCGACTTGAAGTAGGGCGACAGTGGAAGGATGCCAAGCCCATCGGCCTGAGGTGCATATCAGCTGAAAGATTTCGACGAACCATTTGCTCTAAAAATGTGAAGCCAGCTAAAACGGGATCAATACAATAGAGGCAGTGTAGGTGCTTGCAGACGACAGCTCAAGCTATCGCACCACGGGCAAAGTGACCCGAGGCCAATAGAGAGGCCAAGCTCGAGATATCGCTGGAGTTCCCATTTCGCGTTTTATCTGTGGAAAAATGGCGCAACTATGAACTTGTGAAGGGATGTAGTAAGGAGCCATTCGAGTCGTTTAGTAATAAGTGCTTTGCCTGACAATTCAACGACACCAGGTGCACCACACACTACCTAAAGGTAAGAGCAACGACGTCAATACGCTGCTATGGGAGTTGCTCTCACCGAGACAAAGGGCGGCTTCAAAAATTGCCAGGATCGCGAGCATCCCCAGTTTCACATCGAATTTTATACAGTCAATTACTCAACTAAAAATTCGATCAAAAGGTTTTGGCTTATGTCTTGGTCAAGCAAGCACGCTACGGTTGCGTGCCTAAACGGATCTGAGCCGGAGCCACCTGCCTAGAGCAATTACTTGGCACCTCGCTTCTTCCACCGTCCACCTCACAACGTTTCAACCACCAACGCATCTCAAGTGCTTCACTTGCCCATCTGCTCGCCTGACCCAAAACTTCTTTCCTTTGAGAATGCCGCACACGATCACTCATTGATTCATTTTCCGCCATGGAGCGAGCACACAAACGGCAGCGGCGTGCCGAAGACGCGGAAGAACCAGGGCCGACAGCTCAGTCAGACCATCTGGAATCCCTGAACCGACCAATAAGTCCACCCATGAAGAAAAAACAGCCAGGCATGCGCGTTAAGTCGCCGTTCCAGCTGACGACCATTCGGGATCTTCCCGAGGCTGCCAACCGTGACTGCGTGGGCCTCGCAGACATCCTGGGCGATCCTATGATTGCAGAGTGTTGGGAGTTCAACTTTTTGCACGACATACACTTTCTCATGAGCCATTTTGATGAGGATACCAAGGACTTAGTCAAAGTTCACGTCATTCACGGTTTCTGGAAGAGAGAAGACCCGAATCGCATAGCTCTTCAGGTCAGCCGACGATGACCAGCAAAAGCCATTTAACAATTCTGAACACTGACATTTAAAAGGAAGAGTCAGAAGCATATCCTAATGTTGAGCTACATGGGGCTTTCATGCCGGAGATGTTTGGCACTCACCACACGAAAATGATGGTGTTGATCCGGCATGACGACTCGGCCCAAGTGATCATACATACAGCCAATATGATCGCCAAGGACTGGACGAATATGACCAATGCTGTCTGGAGATCACCTATTCTGCCACTCCTTCCGGAAGAGGTGGTCGTCGAGAATGAGACAGCGGACAGCTATCCTTTCGGAACGGGAGAAAGATTCAAATACGACCTTATCAGCTACCTCAGAGCGTACAACACACGAAGACCAATCCTCATAGACTTGGTCGAAAAGTTGTGCAAGTACGACTTCTCGAGTGTGCGTGCAACACTCATTGCTAGCGTCCCGGGCCGTCATCCCATCCACGACACTTCACAGACAACCTGGGGATGGCCATCCCTCAAGAGAGCACTGCGCAATGTTCCTGTCCAGGAAGGGAAGTCTGAAATTGCGGTTCAGATATCGTCCATTGCTACTTTGGGGGGCACTGATAGTTGGCTTCAGAAATGCCTCTTCGACTCCCTAGCCGTGTCCAAAAACAAGTCCCTTACAACACCCAGGTCAACGTTTAAGGTCGTCTTTCCTACGGCTGACGAGATCAGGCAAAGCTTGGACGGCTATGCTTCAGGAGCATCAATCCATACCAAGATCCAATCACAGCAACAGGCGAAGCAATTAGTATACCTGCGGCCCATCTTCTGTCACTGGGCAAACGATGCGCCTAATGGCAAAGGTTAGGGGACAGGTCTCAACCTACGAGTATACAACTAACAAGTCGTAGCATTGAGCGATGAATCAGTGTTCAAAGAAGCTGGCAGACAACGGGCAGCACCTCACATCAAGACATACATTCGCTACGGTGAAAAGTCGATAGATTGGGCCCTCGTCACATCTGCAAACATTTCCAAACAAGCGTGGGGCGAAGCGGCAAGTGCATTGCAGGAAGTCAGGATCGCATCGTGGGAAGTGGGAGTGCTTGTGTGGCCTTCGCTCATCGCAGACAAGGCGACCATGGTGGGGACATTCGAAACGGATATGCCACCAAACGATGCGGGAGACGGCGAACCGGTGATCGGCCTGCGCACTCCTTACAACCTACCTCTTCAAGCGTACGGAAAGGACGAGATCCCCTGGGTGGCAACGATTGCCCATGATGAACCAGACAGGCTGGGAAGGGCTTGGGGTGCTTGGGAGAACTGAGTCCACACGGCGCATGTTCACATCCGTACTCTTCTCGACGTTGGTATCATTATATTGATCCTCGTTTCCCTGCTCGGCATATACTCGAGCAAAAGAAACCATTGCTAATCCATATCAACCCGTTGTCGTTTCTCATGGTCGTTAGATGCAGTGCATAGGGGGTTGCGTTTACGCGCCGACGGCCTCGGGCTCCTTGTTGGCATCGTAGCCGTACTTCTCCTTGAGAGAGTTGACGAGGGTGACGTACTTCTCCTGGGCCTGCTCGGGGGTGAGGTTGTCGTCGACGACCTTCTGCCACGCGCTCTGCTTCGCCTTGCCCTGTAACGCAAACCAAACGTCAGCTTCCATCACGTGCCAAATTCGGGTAGGGGAGCTTCGGTTGGTTAAGTGGTGATGCTGCGTACCTTGAGGTCGAACATGCCAGGCTTGGGGGCGCTGGAGATGTCCTCGCCAGTGCTGACCTTGTACAGGCCTATGTTCATCGTTGCATGTTAGCTACTAAAGGAGCCGAGGTAACAGGGGGTGGGCTTGTGGGAAGCGACGCACCGTAGAGCTCGAGGAGCTCGTCGTTGCCGGGCTTGGAAGTAAGCTTCTTGCTGTCGGAGACAGCCTGCTTGAAGGCTTCGCTCTGGGGGGCAGACATGATGTTTGTTTTAGGGGTTTGGTATAAGGTTTTGAGAGGTTGCGGTTTGTGTAGTAGTGAGGTTATATCCGGGGAAAGGGATTGTTGAGCTTCTCAGTGTTGGGAGGCGGAGGAAAGGGTTGGACGTGTTGGCGGGGTTAGCAAGGAGGTCCCACAGGCCCGCTTCATCATATGCTCAAGTGCGCGGGGCAGCTGATGCTGTCATTGGGTCGGCCCTTGCACCTTGTACCTCAGACCTCTTGCACCGCCACATGTGATTTGGGTGGGAAGCCACAACCTGGAGTGTCGGCTCAATGTCAAGCCGCCTTTCTCCGTAACGTCCATACGTAGGTACCTACTTGCGCAGTAAGGTAGGTAGATTAAACAAGTCATCGAAGCTGCTTGGAGCATCGCCGGACTTTCATTCTGTCCCTGATCCGACGACCAGTCTCATCGGTTTCGAAGATGGATTCTTTGCTCCGCTTACGTGGAAATGCTCACCAGTTCAATGCTTGGCTACCTAGGCACCAGCTGCCAACATCTTCCCTCGACCTGCAGCTTCTTCAAGTCGACGTTAACCGTTTGACCATGCTTACGGCACTTGGCTGGACTGCAATTTGTTTGCCCGTTCGCGTCGTGCAGCAATGCCTTGCACCTCACAAAGCAGCTGCCCGGTCCAGAAGGTGGACGTCCGAGCGCTTGATATCCCCAGACTGGCATCGTACTCTGCAACGATACACGTCTCTTCGAGCAGAGATGGCGGCCAGCGTCTGATATATTCCCAGTAACGAATGTGTTTGTAAACAGGACACATTGCTCGTGCCTCGAGCGGACGATGACAACTTGACTACATCGACCGAAGTATGGCTGCTTCTCTCCGGGAGGGTGTCCGGAATCACTCTCCCCCTGACTAACGAAACTGGCCTTCCATGGATAAAGTCGCACCAGACGGGCTGGTCCGAATAGGACGAATCGGGGGTGACAGCTGCACTCGGACCCGGCATGTTACCTCGATAAGGCACATTGAAGCTCGCTCAAGCAGCTATCGACGCGAGCAGCACATTCAGTGCGAGGAAACATCTTTGGAAACGGCAAATGATATCAACAACCCCTACACCATCAGTCACATCCCGACCTGGACCGGCTCGCGATACAGCATTCCGGCCCAAGCTCACTTCAACCTTTGTTTCCGTCTCTTCTTTTTTTGTTTTCTCGTGCAGCTACCAACTGTGCCAACGTCGAATGACAGTCCGTCATATCGTGTGGTCTGGGTGTGGGGAAAGCCGAACGGACAACGAGGGATCGACAGGCCCACCCACCCCAGTGCCGTACGGACATGAACGATCCAAAGTGCTTGTCTGTCTGACCTACCATCCACCATCCTACCAACCACATGTTGTGTTACCCAAACGGCACGGACTTTGAGACTGAAACCTGGTCAAAAATACTAATGGCACCAATTTGCGTTCTTCATTAGCATTAGCGCAGCCTGGTGAGGGGACGCGTATCCGGACTTTATGAGACAGAAGGGGGGGGGGGGGGGAGGATATATGCCACAAGGATGCAGCCAGGCTTCGATCTATCCCGGGCCCGAGCATGCTATGAGGGGGAATAAAAACCAGACCTCTCGCAGCTCTGGTTGGGAGGTGTTTGCTGATCTGAAGATATCCAGGAACTCCCTGAGAGCCCATAAATCGACAGTACTTTGACCTTCAGACTAATACCCTCACTTAGCTTCGTCAAGACGAGTTGTTCGCGCATTTCTCATCGACACCGAGAAGAACAGAGTCATCAAAGCTTGAATTCACGCAAGAGACAGACAATATGGTCAAGACAGTCGTCGTGCTCGGCGCCGCATACGGCGGCCTGGCCGTGGCTCATCGCCTGCTCAAGTACACACGCCAGACAGAGCCGGACCTCAGAGTGATCTTGGTTTCAAAGGTGAGAGAGACTTTTCTACACTATGATTGGTATACATAGAATCACTTGAGCGTTCTCGATTCTCGAAATCGGACGACGCTTGCAGAAGCCGGGGGTGTGTGTCACCAAGCTCCGGAGGCCCGTGGGGGACGGCGTAAGACAGCTGCGGACGACCCACAGTTTATCTCACCTCTGCCTCATGGGGATTGAAAATGAGATGGGAAGAGTGAGACGCGTGAGGACAAGTGTTGGGAATTGCCTCGGAAGAAATGAATTGCAAGGGAAGCGGTACGCAATACTAACGAGAAATGGCAGACAACTCACTTCTACTGGAACATGGGCTCCGTCCGCGCAATCGTCCCAGGCATCGTCCAAGACGACCAAATCTTCCAACCCATCGAGCCCGGCTTCGCATCCTACCCAAAAGAATCCTTCGAATTCGTCCTCGGCACCGCAACGGGCCTCGACGTAGGACGTAAATCGGCCCTCGTATCAACCGCCTCGGGCCCCAGGTCCCTACCGTACGACTACCTCGTCCTCGCCACCGGCGCCCGCGCCGCGTCCCCCGACATGCCGTGGAAATCATCCTCCTCCCACGAAGAAACCCTCCGCCTCCTCCACGCGACAGCCGACAAAGTGAAATCCGCAAAGCACATCGTCGTCGCGGGCGCGGGTCCGACAGGCGTAGAAGTCGCTGCCGAGATCCGCTTCGAGTTCAAGGATAAAGAGGTCCACCTCCTCGCCGCCGAAGACGAGATCCTCGCGGGTGATTCCATCGCCAAGCCCGTCGAGAACGAGATTACGAAGCTGGGAGTGCAGGTCCGGAAGCACGCGCGCGTTGCGAATTCGCGGCCCTTGCCGGACGGTAAGACGGAGGTCAAGCTTATGAGCGGGAAGGTTATCCGGACGGATTTGTATCTGCCGACCATGGGCCTTGTGCCGAATACGGAGTACCTTGACGCCGGGATGCTGAACGAGCGCAAGTATGTGAATGTGGACGAGTACATGCGCGTCAAGGGCGTCGAGAACGTCTGGGCGTGCGGGGATATCATTTCGTTTCCGAGGGTGGGCTTCATGCTCACGGATAAGCAGGTTCGTCACATTCCCCCACATCCTTCGTTCCTCTCACAATCCTTTTCCCTCCCAAAGATGACTGGATAAACTGACATTTTCCAAACTTACAACAGGCCGCCGGCGTCGTCAAGAACATTGAACTCACAATCAAAGGCAAAGACCAAGCCGTTGTAAAAGGCATGCCCATCGACGTCTACGTCTGTGCCACGGGTCGCAGCCGCGGCGCGGGCCGCATCGGCTGGGTCAAGGCCCCGTCTCTGATGATTTGGGCCGTCAAGAGCCGGAACCTGGGGATGCCCATGGCCGTGCCGTATGCCAACGGTGGCCAATGGTAAGCTGGTGAGCCAGAATCAGAGGCAGAGAAGGCACGGCTTCGGTGTTTGATAGCAGGACACAATTTGGTGTTTTCTTTTTGTTATTCATGTAATTACACTTATACGATTCTACTCAAATAATCTGGTATGTAACTTACAGAGAAGTGGTCAGTAATCTGATCTGAATACTGTCCCCATCATCTGAATCGCTTCTAGTCGCATTCTCTGTACTTGGGACTCCGTTATGGTCACCCAGCAATCCTCTGGACAAGTCTCGTGTATCACTACCGGAGGAGTAGGCCGCCACAACAAGAATGATGAAGAACCCATTGCCTCAATTTCCATTCTTTATCGACCGAACCTTTATTTTCTACCCCATAGAAGTTCAATCTTCAAGACACCTGTGCAAACCCTCCTCATCTCATCAAACTAAGCAGGGCAACGGCAAACATTATAGTCTTACATGCACGTAGAATATGCCCAGAGATGGAAAAACAACTCCCTGAATTGGACGTGGAAAACGGTACCCAACCCAGACCAGGCCCATCATCCCCCTCGGAAGAAGAAAACATATAAAAGATAACCCAAGCAAGCCGCCCGCCCCGCACCTGAAGAAGACGCTGTTCAAATTTGGATTTTTTCCCTCTCTCCCTTCTCTGTCTCTCTCCCTCTCTTGTCCTCATCTGCTGGACTTCTCATCCTCAATCTCCCTCCGCAGCTGGTCAAGCACGTGCTGCCGCGCCGAGAGATGCGTCTCAAGACCCTCAACCTGCTCCTTGACCGTCTGCAAATCATCCGATACCCCCTTCAGCCCAGAACCGCCGCCCTGTCCCTTGCCGGCACCGCTCTCGAGGTCCTTGAGCTCCTTGCGCTTGTAGTCGAGCAGCTGCTCAAGCTCGCGCTTGACGAGGGCGGGTTTGCCGTCGCGCTTACCGCCCTTCTTGCGCTCGACGTCGGCCTCGATGCGGGCCATCTTCTCGTCGAGCTCCTGCAGCTGCTTCTTGAGGCGGACCTCCTCCCAGTCGTCCGTCTTGGCTGTGGAGAAGTCGGTTCCGCTGGATTTGAAGCCGCTGCGGCCCAGGCGGGTGAGGTACTGGTCGCCAAACTTGGCCTTGCGGCCCGTCGCTGTCGAGTCGTCGGCCTTTGTCGCCCATCGGGAGGCGCCCGGGGTCTGGTTGTCTAGTTGGTAGTCGATCTGGTTGCGCTCAAAGGAGGCGCGGAGGGAGGCGGGGACGGTGCGCGGGATGCGGAAGCCTTCGTGGCGGTTGTTGAGAATGTGGAGGAAGGCGAGGCAGGCATCTTTGTTGATGGAGGGGCCGGCCGAGGGGTTGATGAGGTTCCAGGCGGAGCGGATGTCGGTGTCGGGGACGTCGAGGGATTCGTAGAGGTCCTCCAGAGCAGTGACTGTGAACGAATCGCCCCGTTAGTAAAAGCGGCACGGCGGATAGGGGCGCGCGCAAGTGAACCTACATGCTACTTGTCCCCGTGCATCCCGGTTCTCTTGGTATATCGACTCATACTTGGACTTGTCCGCTGGGCTCATGTACCAGTCGAATCCGTCCTTCAGCCCTGGCGAGTCTGGGTCGTCGTCGACTTGCTCGAACGCCACTTGCCTTCCTGTGAGCGCGCGATTCGCCTGGACGAGATGTGCCTTGGACTCGGGGACGAGCCAATCGGGGAGTGTCGTTGGGACATCTGAGTATTCCTGCCCATCCGAATGCGATTAGTACCTCTGCGCTACTCTCTTCCCATAAGCATCCAATTCGAGGTATACTCACGCCGTTCAGAATATCGAAAATAACTCTCATAGCAACGCAAAACTCCTCAAAGTCGAGATTACCATCATTGTCGACGTCGGCGAGATCCCACACCCTCTCGAGCTGGTTGTCCGTCAGGCCGCTGTTCTTCAGCACCGGCGCGGCCTGTTCTCCCGTCAGGAACTGGCCCCCGCCCGTCCGGGTGGAGAAGATGTTCCAGTACGTCTCGATTTCTTGTGCTTCGATGCGAGGAGGCGCCATGGTGTGCGGTATGTGTGGGTTTGTTCGTGTGTAACAGGGAAGAGCGTCGGTGGACGGAGGTTGACGAAGGGTGGCCGGGCTTGGATAAGTCGAGCTGGCTCGGGCCTTCGTTCGTGTGGCGGGTAATGCGGTGCGCAGATAGCTGATGCGTCTCTGGAGGCTGCTTGATGGAGCAATTCGACGCAGGTTTTGGGGTATCTCGTGAACCGGAGATGGTGAGGGCTTGGCCGGAGAGGTGTCGTTGTTGCTGAGTGGATCGTCGTTAGGCCGCGTGGGACGGGAGCTCGGCCAAGGATGTGGATTTGGGGTAATCGGCGGGTTGGAAGTGGGAGGCAGTGCTTCTGTAACTTGGCTGAGCGTGCGCTCGGTGAGGGAAGCTCGGTGATGCAAGGTCGACCCACACCTCGCCGTCACTAACCCCTGTTCACTTAGCTCATCACCGACTTACATAATAGTGGCATTCCCAAGAAGCCTGCTCAACGACATCTCACCTTCTCCCACGAAGCAGGTATTATATCACGAAACAAAGGGGCCATCATTCTGAGCAACCTGATGTTTTCCTTAGCACAAGATATCGCACCATGGCGATGGGTATCTCAATATAATTAAAGGGTCTTTGCCCCAAGAAAACCTCCCGAATTCCAAATGGGTATCATCCTCCGAACCAACGTCATATGCAAGCCATCCATAAAGGTGCGAGCAAAAGAAAAAGGTATCCGAAAACCTGAATCCTCCCCAATTTTAAACTCAAAGAAAGACATCCCTCCAAGTAGGGCTGTGATACGCAGCGAAGACCAAAATATGTCTCGTTGCAAAAGAGAAAGCAAGAAAATAGCCAGATGACGTAGCAAGAAAGTTCTTGCAAACCAGGAGACGCGATGGTCGTATGCCTGGCTTCTGTGTTCGCCTTTTCTGCTGTAATGGTATTTCTTTTGTGATTTTGTGCTGCCTCCAAGTAGGCAAAGTTTGTTGCGTAATGCAATGCAATGGTTCTTGGTGGCCAAGCTAGGCTTGCAACATTGCTCTTCATGATGCTTCTCCATGCCACTGGGCAGCTGCGTGGTCGCAAGCCGATCTGTTATATCAGTCGTCTGCTCGCTCGCTGTCCTTGCGCAGTTGAGCGGCGGCGGTGGCCTTCTCAGCCTCAATCTCTCTGCGAATGCTGGCTGTAACGCCCGGGAACGGGGTTCTCGCAGCATTCGGCTGGTAGTGGATCGAGTAGATGCTGTTCGGCCACGAAGCCATGTTCATAGCTAGTCGCTCTCGGGCAAGCTGCATAGCTATGTGAGAAGGCCACCCCTTCTCAACCATCTTCATAACGTAGTCCGCGCCATCGGGCACCTTCTCCCAGAACTCCTCGTACGTCTCATACTGAGGAGGAAACAGCCTGCCATGCTTGTCTTGGCGAGGGGCTCCCGGAGCCATTCGGTCGACTTGGCTCGGGTTGTTAGCTGGAGCAGGAGTATCCGACGATTGCTGGAAGGATGCGCGGTTCGGACCGGGCGCAACGGCTGGCATGGAGGCCTCTCTTCCGGTCAGGTCCTGGATTTCGGGCGGGGGCATGGGCGCCAGAGGGCGAGAATTGGCTCCAGGAAGCGATGGTTGACGCAAGTCAGCGGTAGACGACTGCATTTCAGAAGTGAAAGACGTAGGCATAGGCTCGTAGCTTCCTGGCTGGCGACGATAAGTAGTGAAGTCAGTCTCCTGAGCAAAGTATGAGTTCGAAGGAGGATATGCTTCAGGACGCGACGATGAACGGTGCTCAGTAGTAGACGAGTGCATGCCTGGAGTAGAAGACACGGGCAGAGCCTCTTGGCTTCCCAGATGACGGCCATAAGATGTGAAATCGGTCTCCTGAGCATTGTATGAGTTCGAAGTATAGGGACTAGGAACCGACGAATGGCGCAGCTGAGTAGCCGACGATTGCGCACCAGAGGTGAAAGACGCGGGCATGCGATCGTAGCTTTTCATTTGGCGAGCGTCAGCTCTGGAATCGGGCTCCCGAGGAAGGTACGAGTTCGAAGACTCATAGGCACTAGGAAGCGACGATTGACGCAGCTCAGCAGCAGATGGCTGCATGCCGAAAGAGAAGGAATTGGGAATGGGATCGTAGCTTGTCGTTTGAAGACCATCAGCTCTGAAGTCGGGCATCTGAGGAGTGTACGAGTTCGAAGGTTCATTGCTGTATCTTGAGACTGGCGTCATTCTTTCCTCGAACTGGGCAGTTCTCTGCGTATGAGGCTGATCGACGCTAGCTTGACGACTGCTCTCGGATGACTGGTTCGTCTCCCGCTTGGTTCGAGGTTTCTGAGACACGACAACTGTAGGCGCTTGAGGGGCCATTTGCTCGGGGCCAGGAACTGGGTTATTGCCTGCCGGAGGTGAAGCAGCGTTTGGAGCGGGAGAACTGTTCGCGGGGGTCTGCATAGCCGTTGCCTGGTTCGCGACCTGATTCGCAGCAGCCTGTGCGGCGGCAATGTCCTCGGGTCTAGGATACTTGCGGGGACGTCCTCGGCCACGCTTGACGGGCTGGAGTACACCGTTGGGACCCATCTGCTGCGGTTGAGGTAGAGGCGGCGGAACGACCGTGGCCTTCTTCGATCTGCGGGCTTTCTTGGGCTTGTCGGGAACGTATTCTCCATCGCTGTCATCAGCCGGACGCTTGCGGGATGGCTTGGTAGAGCTCTTCGTGGATGGAGGCTCGGGACTATCCTCGCGCAGGGCCGGAGTTCGGGGTATGTTGTTATGTCTCGCGGGAGGGACAACCATGGGTCTCATAGGAGTAGCAACCACAGGTCTCGCAGGAGTACCACCCATAGGTCTCGTGGAAGAACCAGCTGTAGATCTCGCAGAATCACCAGGCAAGTCAATGACAGCGCGCTGCGAGCCTCCGGCGACGGGTATAGGGTTGTTGTAGAAAGTGATTTCTTCCTGGGTCACTGGGACCACGGCATCCTTCAGGGCGAAACGAGGCTCCTGTGCTGCAGGGACCGCAGAGACCTTAGAGATTCCAGAGGCTCTCGAGACTTGAGAAACCTGAGGGAGTGCAGAGCTCTTGGGGATCTGGGGAACTGCAGAAACTCTGGGAACTTGGAACAGGTCAGGGGCTCGAGAGACCGTGGGGAATTGAGAGGCGGCAGGTGCTTCAGAGACGGCAGGTGCTTTGGAGACCGCAGACACTTCAGGGACTCTAGAGAATCCAGATGTGTTGGTGCTCGATATCGGGTTCGACAGCTCGTTGTCGAAGTTGGCGTTCGAGCTCGCGTCAGGCATGGCCGCGTCAGGCATGTCCTCATCATGGCTGGCCTCCTGAGCAACAATCTGCTGAGCGGTCGCCTGCGAAGTAGGCATTTCCGGTCGCTCAACTGGAAGTGCCATCTCGTCGAGGTACCATTGAGGCTTGGTGTTGCGGAGAATTGCCTTGAACTCAGACGACTGGAAATATTCGTATGCAGGCGAATCTGAAGGGGACGTATTGGGATCCACCTCATCGATATAAGAAAATACGGGCTGGAGTACCGCTGAGCTTGCGCTCTGTTGAGCCGGTTGGTCATCTTGAGCTTGTAATTCGGGGAGAGACAGGTTCGTAAGGATGCGAGTATGATCCACCACCGGCTCTGGCTCCGGAGTGCTAGGGCAGGGCATAATCTCCTGGGCCTCGGGCAAGAGTCCATCGAAGGGGAACGAGGGAACAGCAGGCTGATTGTTGACTTGAGCCTTGGGGAATGCCTCGTCTAGAACTTCATCGCCTGGGAGTTGGTGCTCATCGGATTGGTCATGCTCCTGCACTGCAGTAACTTCAGGACTGCCATCGGCAGCAGACTGAAAGTCCTCATACGAGATAGCGGGACGGTTGCGATACTTGTGGACTTCGGTCGGAGTGTACAGCTCATCCATGTCCAGGTTATCAAAGACCCACGCATACTGCTGATCGTTAGTCTTGTTCTCGTCTCAACTTCAAAGGAGAGAGCCACCTGAAGTGAACCACTAAGGAGGCAAAGAGATGAAAGAATGAGAAGGAGCCTACCTGGTTGTTCTCGCCAAACATTGGGTTGTTCCGAGCGTACACTTGGCCGGTACTCTGAGGCTCGCTGACCGACTCTAAAGTAGGAGTGTCGTGCTGCTCGGTTGGATTGGCTGAGGAAGATGTGCTCGCCGGATTACCCTTTCTATGGTCCAAGTGAGGGAGGTAGGCTTGGATTTGAATCATCCTGTTCACCAACTCATGGTGCTTCGGGTCGAACTGGTCATGCCAGGATTGCGGTCCGTCATGGATCTGGGTGTCGACTTCGTGCAAAGCGGAATCCTTGGTACCCTTCTCGAGGATGGCGATACAGGCGGCCAAGATCTCACGCTCGATGTGAATCTCAAGAAACCCCTCAGAGATCCCGCGGCATCTCTCAAGTCCTCGGATGTGCTCACCCAGTCCGATTTGGCGCAAGTACTGATACGCCTTCTCGTACTCGTCGTACTTGATGGTGTGAGTGGGAAGGAATGGCTGGTTAAGAACATTCATGCCGTCTCTCGGAGGCGCTCGCTCATGGATCTGGTCGAGGAGTTCAGACGGGTCCATCTCATCACACGTCTTTGCCCTCGCCTGGATCTCCCGGTGGTGCTGTATATAAGACACAACAAAGGTGATGACTTCTGGAGTCGTGAGGCCCAAGGCTCGAGCTGCCAAGGCAAAGGACTGGGAGCCACAAAGGACCTCCAACAAGATCCATTGGGCGCCATGGCTCAGGTGAGCCCAAGAAATGGACTCACCCTCGCCTGGACTGCCCCAGTCCATGCTGTCCTCGCCTTGGACCTCCCGCTCCTCGGCCACCGGCCGGTCGTCCTCCTCCTCCTCCTCTGCGGCGTGTCAGCGGGATACACGATAGGCAGGGGGGAAGGGTACTAACCGTCGTCACTGAAGTGCTCGGGGGAGAGGTTCTGCTCCCGCAGCCAGGCGTCCAGCTCGCCCCGGTCTCTCGCCTCCACATACTCATCCCCCTGACCCCTCTGGTCCAGGGGGATGGTTGGGAAGGACGCCCAACGAGCCGCGCCGGGGTCAAAGACCGGGTCCGGGTGAACCCAGGCCGGCCTCTGAACCCCGAGCGCATACTGCTCCTGGTACCTTCCCCTCTGAACTTCTTGAGTCGAGCGCCGCAGCGCACGCCTCCGGCCGCCCGCTTCCTCCATCTTTCGATGGGTATTATGATGCGATATTCCGCTGGGGGCGGATTGGGATGGAGGAGGGTGAGTATGATGATTGTGCAATGGTGGTGGATGAGGCAAAGTGAGAGGTAAGTGAAAAAAATGAGGTGTGGGTTGAGGGAAAATGGATTGTCAACAGTCAAGTGAGATTGTTTTGACCGGAAATATCGCATTGGTGTGTGGGATGTATAAGGAAAGAGCAGTGGGGCCCCGAAGGAGAAAGAATGAGGCAGTTGCTCCTTCCTCGTTGTTATGGAAGGGTTGGGTGTAAGGTGAGATGAGATGAGATGAGTCCTGCTACCTGAGGTTCACCGAAGACCTGTCCCTTCCCATGGGATAGCCTTCTGCAGGCTTGTTTACTGACCCAGGGGCTCATCGTATTTCCTGAAGATATGACGCGAATGTCCTGAGGGTGAACACAGAGAGTTCGTCCTCTCCATATCATAATCCCTCTCCTTTCGATGAGTTTTATACTAAGGAGATATGAAGAACGGGAAAACAAGAACAACTCATGACCTAGCCTAGCAGAAGGGTGCAGAGCTCATATATATGTGCGAAGAATTCATGAGACCGATTTGACCAACATGTTCTTCTGTTATATACAAATAGTTCTGACCATGGCCTTTGTGTGTGGCCTTTTTACACTGGGCATGTCTACACAACAAATCATCTTGAGGAATGGGCACAGTTTGAAACTGTGTAAATAGTGGGTTCTGATAGTGGTGAAAGCAGGTCTAAACTGCCCTAGAAGAGAGTCGTTGCCGACTGAAACGGGTATACTGATTGACAACCTTGACGCCTATCCATGTTCCTAAAGCAAAGTTCTAATTCCCCTTGATGAGTCTGCTCATAATGACAACTAGAGGCGGTCTTCCTACTGACGCCAAAACCACTGATGCAATGCCTCCGCTACGAACTCTTCCGTCCCAGTGCCCAGAGATCAGCTGAAATTCCTGTTCTGGGCTCAACGAATCTCGTCACTACGCGATTGTATCGCGATCCCGAAACGGAACAAACTTGCCCCTGTCCTGGTACCGCTCGCGATCCGCGGCGAACGTCTCATATCCTCCGCCCTGCCTGTCCTCTTCGTCAAGGGTCGTTTCGATGCCGCGCTTGCCGCCCCCACCGCTGTATCCGTGCGATTGACCGGCTCGGGGAACATCTCTGGTCGCACTAGACACATTTCTCTGGGCATTGAGAATATCTTCGTACGCTTGTAGCATCCTCTTTCCATCCTCGTCGAAGTTGGCGGAGAATCGTTGCATGGAGATAAATTGCACGGAAGAGATCATGTCCTTCCCGTACATGGTCATGATGTAAGCTGCAGCGACGAAAGCTGATCGATCGTTGCCAGTTTCGCAAACAAGGAGAATCTTGCCACTCCTGAAGCTTTCGTCATCGACTGCCATCCGACCTGCCTGTGCAGCCACAGCTTGACTGCGATAGACGTCGATCAAATGCCCGTTGATCTTTCTCACCACCTCCGGGAAGCCTCGAATCAACTCAGAATTGTCCAAGACGTCCAAATATTCGACCTGGATGCCGAGCTTTTGGGCTACCTTGTCGACACTCATCAGTCGAGCTTGAGCCACCCTGGCATGTCGTGTAACAATGACCATGGTGATGCCCTCCTTGGCAAGCCAAGCTTCATCGCGAGCAACGGATAACGGGCCGAGGTAGAGGAAGTCGAGGAGCGTCTGTGCCTTACGTCGAGCCTCGTAGTTCCAGCCAACTGATCTGTCTGTGGCAGTCTGTGTCTTGTTCCGAGTTATGATTCTGAGATCATCGCTTGTGAGGCGCATGGCATCGACATTGTTGAATGACGGGGTAAAGGTGCAAGTAGCGTTGCCCTTAGCAAATGTCATGGGAATGGGTATGTAAGGAGGACTGGGGGGCCTGTGGCTATACGGAGCTGTGGCGATGGCATGCTCTTTCGGCTCCTGGGGTTCCTCCATGTTTGCTGATGCTCAATGCGGGGTTAAATGACAAGCAGTTGGCGATGCGATGTGTTTCGTTGCGGGAGTGCAAGACGCACTGACTCGAAGCAAGCAGTGCAAGATGCCTTTGTTCGCTGTGTTTCGTCGTTGCCGATACTGTGTAGGCACAAACGCAAAGGCAGGTTGCTGAAAACTTGGTCAAGCTATGCAAAGAAAGGCAAAGCAACGTGCCAGGACCTATTATGAGTGAAATGGAAAATGATAAGACGTTGGCTGGAGCGGTGGTGGTTTGGATGATGTTGATGTAAAGTTGAGAGGTGGAGTAGGAAAGTACAGCATCTGGGTTGCAGGCTTGCAGGAGGTGTCGAATCGGCAGACTGGGCCGGAGCGAGCTTAGACCCCCTGTGCGGCGGGCGTCCACCTGTCTGTACTGCCCGCCCCACTCTGAAGCCTAGACCCATCGGAGAAGTGCTGGAAGCAAGCTAACCATGTGTCAATCCCAATTCCAACGTCGCTTCCCCAGAGCAGAGCCTTTCTGGAACGGTTACTTGCCTTGCCGCAGCATGCACGTCAGTGACATCGCCCCAGTACCTTCCCTACCTTCCGAGGTTCGTGAGTCTAGGACTACCTGAAGCGCAGAAACGGCAGGTACCTTAACTTGTGCCACTCGTAGACTTGAGCTACGATTCATTACCCTATCAGGCAGGCCTGCTTACCTCGGCTCCCAAAACGACAACTGAGGCATTTTAGGACCTGTCACCTTTTGCCAGTCTAATTCAACACCGTAGGGACCAGTTTAGGCGACTTATGCAAGTAAACATCTACTCTGGAGAGCTTATTTGAGTCTCTTCCCGAGGGAACCCCAAGAAATAGCAACTTGCCTCTTGGCACTGAGTCAAGACATTAGGAGCTCGACGCGTGTCTTTCTTCTGTCACAATGTAAGTGTGGGCAACCAGGACCACTTACCTGCTGCTGGCTCCCTTCGTTTAGCGACCGAATGCAAGATGTAGTCATATCATAAACCAAGACGTGCAACTTGAAAACCAAAGGCGATGTTTTTCATCTTCACAAGACAGTTTGAATGGCAAAGTTAGTCCGATGGCAAAATGAATAAATAACCATGATTCATGAGAAATAAGTTCATTTGAGCTTGTTAGTTTTTGGCTGTTGACGCATTAAAACATCTGCATTTCCCCACTCGCCTGTGGGTGCCTCCTTCAGGTGAACACCATTGCGCCATTGATAACGAGGCCGTCCTTTTGGTAGCGCAGAATAACTACACGCGCTCATTGATAAGCTGACCGAAAGTCCGGACCGGAGAGGAGAGGGCTAATGGGCGATTTGATCACATAAGCCACTTCAAGCGCGAGCATGATGAGACGTCATTTCATCGCGTGAAAGAATCATCTATTCAAAATACGTAGGGCATCGTGACTAATATCGTGCGTTTGCGTCATCCATCCAGCCGATTACAACTCCTCGGAAACCTGACCCTGCTTCTCCAGAGCGGCGAAGTCGGTGAAGCCGAGCTCGTACACGAGGCCAAGGGTCATCTTGGCGTGCTCAAGCATGTGATCAAACGACAAGTACTTGATGTTGTCATCGGTGCTGTGGATGTGCTTGTCAGAGTCCTCAAAGGCGGACTCGATCACGAAGGCGGAGGGGTAGCCAGCCTTGCTTGCAGAGGCATGGTCGGAGCAGGCGTATCCACACTTCGTCTCGACGTAGGGAACCTTGCAGTACTATGGTTTTGTTAGCACCTTCGCGCATATGGGGTTTCATTTTGACTTACCTCGACGATGACCTTCTTGATGAAACCGGTCAAGCCGGGATCAACAAAGTCGGTAATGACACCAACGCTCTCAGGCTTTCCAGCATCAAGCGTACCCTGAACAAATCCAGTCATGTCCTGCTGGAGCATGGCCTTGATGTCACGTCCATCTTGCTCGTAGGACGAGAAGATGGCCTGGGAACCAAGAAGACCGCCCTCCTCGGCGCTGTACCAGTGGAACTCGATGGTGTTGTCGGCCTTTCCGGAGATGACATCCTTGGACTTGAGGAGAGTGCGGAAAGCCTCGAGGATGGTCATGGAGCCACTGCCATCGTCATCGGCACCGGGCGCAGCGAGAATGGAAGGCAGCCACAGGTTGATGGAATCCTGGTGCGCGCCGATGACGACGGTGCTGTTAGACTTGCCCGGGATGGTAACAATGATGGAACTCTGTTGCCAGGTGTGGGGGAAGGCCTCGGCGTAAACGTGTTTGCCGGCGCCGGCGTCCTCGATGATGGTGTTCAGCTTAGCCAGAAGCCATTCGGAGGACTGGCGGCCGTAGTCTGACTTGAAGTAACGGGTGTGGAAGCTCGTGAACTTCTCCAGGTTGGTCTGGATCTCCTTCTTGTCAAGGTCTTTGATGAGAGGCTTGACCTTGTCCTGAAGGCGACACTTCTCGGGAAAGACGCTCTTGGTCTTGGTGTGGAGGCGGCTTGCGCCGAACTCCTTGTGGTCGGTAATATCGAAGAAGCGGTTTCCGTTCTGCAGGGAGTCAGGTCAGAATGCGAAAGAAAAGCAGTGGAGATGAAGGAAATCATACCCTGCGAAGCTCCCACTTCTCCTCCTCAGTGACCCAGCGAGTGTTGCCTGGGGCAAGTTCGATCAGGTACTTCTCGGGCTCGGAGCCAGCGGGATACAGCTGGACACGGTTGATCTCCTCCTCGGCAACAAAGCGAGCAGTGACCGAGTGGGCCAGCACGGCGAGAAGTGAAGCTTTGGCGACCTTCATTGTGAATAGATAGTATGGATTGGTGATGGTACAATCTGGAGATGATGCGGGAGGTATGTAAAGGTAGTCAGGTGGATGTTGTTAAAGGGAGAGATGGCTGGCGTCATGTCGGCTGGGGCTGATAGGTGCCTAGATAAGATAGCTAAGCGTCAGCGGGTCTGCGACAGCTCGGCAAGCTCCCCACCTCCCCTGTCTCGAATACATTCCCACACATGCCCCGCGGGTTGCCTGGCCAAGCAGACGCCACCAATGCTTGCAAGCGGGTACCTTACCTCGAGTACGGAGTACGTACCTCGGATGTCCGTAAGGCCGGTACGGGTGAGGTCTACACCTTACCTTACCTAATCAACTTTCTGCTCTTCCCCAGGTTCTATTTGGTAAATCTGGATTCTGGACGGTCTCCTTCGTCTTCAAAAGTAAGTAGTGTCAACGTTACCAATGCTATCAGATAATCGATGAGTTCCGTACAGGACTCTGTCTTGCTGCTTCACAACTTACCTTATTTGCGGCAGAAAACATGTGCTACGGACTGTCACTGACCTGCTGTGCAAGGTGGGCCTGGCCAGCTATTAGGGAATGACCCGAGTGACAGCTCTACCTGAACGAGCAAGTTTCGGCTCACCGAGCCAATCAACCAACACAGACACCTTTTGATCATGCTCTGCCGCCCTCAGATTCTCCAATCTCGCCCGCCAAAAAGCAAACTGAACTACATGCAACACCAGGCATTCGCCGGTCGTCTCCGACCCGACTACTACTCTGGCCCTCGCTGGTTTATCTAGGAGAGAGCGGACGGGATCTCGAGTTCTCCAGTGGGTGTGGTCGCATGTGCTTGGGTTGGAGTCTGGGGAAGCCAATGGCGCATCGCACTGCCCGCACTTGTTGCCCCCGGACGCTGGAGCGCGTCGGAGCGGGTCTATGTGCCCCATAGTGTCTCGGACTCAGCGCCTGGTCCGTTGGAGAGTCGCGGGGGACTTCTACACACTTACTCTACTGATACAGTGGCTCAAACCTTCACCCAAAAGATGCCGAGATTCTGTCGTAAGATCTCGAGACCCTTGATTCGCGGTTAATCGCAGCACCATACCACAAGGTGAGTTCATCAGCACGAAAGACACAAAGGGTATCGCCCGTTCCCATGCCCCGCAGCCCGTCGTCCCGTCGTGGGGCGCTTCGGTGCGAATCGGACACCGGCACCGACTTACCTCTTTAAGCTCGTCTGAACACCAAACATCTACCATGTGTGACAGCTACCTTACAATATGGAGTCCTATCCCGACTCCCGACAACGTTAATGGGCGAACAGACGCCCGGGCTTGAACCTGTTCCTTCCCATCCTCAGGCAGTCAATGATCTCATCGGGGGAGCAACCGCATGTTCCCCAAGCGCATCCCCGCCGCGTGTATAAAGCGCTGGTTGCAGCCGGCGCGCATCCCTAGCTAGATGACCTGCATATGTCCCTCCTGCATTCGTCCGACCTTGTGAGCCAAAAGCCAGATAGGTTCACGATATATCTCAACGACATCCCTCGAATCTAGTCATCTCACCCTCAACCCAAGTACTACACCCATCAAAGCTCAATCGCGCACGAACGAGTGCTGCCCAGCAAAAAGATGGCGGCCTCCAAACCCGAGAAGCCAAACTTTGACCTCATCAAGCGCGGCGTCAAAAAGTCCAATGTGCCAGGAACCCTCACCTTCCTCGGCCTCCGCGGCCTCGACCCCTTCTTCCAATACAAGCTCGTCGCCGGCGGCTGGGGCGCCGCCGCCCTCGCCAAAATCGGCATCAACACCATCCCCCTCAACGTAGCCGCCCTCTCCACGACCGGCGTCGCCATCCTCGACGACCTCCACCTGCCCCTCCCGCACCTCATCCTCCTAGGCATGTCCGTCGGCTCCTTCGTTAAGCAAGCCTACTGGCTCGTCGGCATCTCCGCCGAGGAATTCCCGCCCGGCACCGCCGCGACAGTGAGCTTCTACAACACCCTCGTCAACAGCGCAAACTCCCTCCTCCTCCTCGCGGCGTCCACCTCGGTCCTCACCTCCCCGCGCGACTTCCCCGGAACCTCCCTGCCTTACCAAGTCGTTCTCGGCAGCGTCCTCTACGGCGTCGGCATGTTCCTCGAGACGGCGTCCGAGTGGCAGCGCAAGCAGTTCAAGGCCCGGCCGGAGAACAAGGGCAAGGTCATGCGCGGTGGGCTTTGGAAGCTGGCGCGCCACATCAACTATGGCGGGTACGCGCTCTGGAGGGCCGGTTACTGCATGGCTGCGTCCGGGTTCATCGGGGGTACGATTATGGGGGTGTGGCAGGCGGTGGATTTTCTCACGCGCGGCGTGCCGGCGTTGAATGAGTATTGCTCGAAGAGGTACGGTGAGCAGTGGGTTGATTTCAAGAGGGAAGTGCCCTGGGTCTTGCTTCCTGGTATTTACTAGTTGTGCTAAATGGTACAACATAATGTTATTGGCATAAGCACTTGCTTTTGATCTTTGGGGAGCAAGCATGACCTAACGATGACAAGCAGCAGTACGGATCCGAGTTCTGGACAAGGAGGTGCGTGATCTTTGTTGAGCCGAAGAATCATTTCTCGAATGCGGATGATTTACATACACAAACCTCTCGGCCGAGATATGCGAGTTTCCCGTAAATGCAGACCTGCCGTAGCATCATGACCAGACCCAATGTCCATGAAAAAGATAAAAAAGGGAGGGTATTAGTTGCCCGGTCAGGCGTCACCTCCTGCACCCGCCACCACCTAGATATCTGAGGTAGGTAGGATATAAGGAGCAACTGGCCGTCTTTCCCCAACGGCTACAGCCAAAACAGAGTGCCCAACAACGGCGTGAAATACCCTCCCCTTTTTCACATATTGGAAAAAAACACACAAAGACGCTCGCTTCTACATGCTGTCCTCCATCTGCCGACTCCGGACCTTGGCCCAGTCGTCGCGCTCCTTCTTGCCGCCCTGCTGCTCCAACCCCATGCCGCGCTCAACCCACTCCTTGCTGCCCATGTGGCTGAGACGCGACAGCGCGCGCGCAAACGCAAACGCCTCCTCGTCGCCCGAGAACAGGCCCGACATGCCCTTGATGGAATCGATATTGTGGTCCAGGTCTTCGAGTAGATGCGTCGCCGCCGTGGGATCGCCGCCCTGCTGTCCGGCCTCGTCCTTCTTCCCTTGCTTCTCCAGCGACTCCTCCAGCTCGGCGCGGGAGACGAAGAGCTCCGTCAGGGGCTTCTCCGTCGTCAGGACCAGCTTCGCGTGCGACTCGTACACGGCATCGATAAACGTGATGAAGCGTCGCGCCAGGTCGCGCTGGTTGTGCGTCATGCCGGGACAGTCGGTAATCACAAAGGCGTCGTAGTTGCGCACCAGCTCGAGGTAATCCGCCGCCGACGTCGCTTTGCCAATGAGCTCGTCAAACGTGAACCACGCGCACCGGCCGCTCACGCGCGGCACGTGGATCTCGCGGCCCCAAACGTTCTGCACCTCCGGGTGCGGCTCCGGGTTCTCCGGGTCGCCGAGGAAGCGGAACCACTTCTCGGCGTGGGAGGTCGCGTGCGCGTCGAGCGGGGTGTGGTATACGCCCGAGGGCGGTCGCGGGATCTTGCGGTAGTCTGTCGGGGAGTCGAGGTTGATGACGTGGAGCCTGCTCTTGAGCAGCTTGATGGCCGGTACGAAGGATTCTCGCTGGATGCCGTTCTTGTAGAGTTCGTCGGGGTGTCGGTTCGATGTCGTGACTAGCACGACGCCATGCGACATGAGCGCTTCTAATAATCTGCCCCCCGGGGTGTCAGTTTACGACATGTTCCCTTTCGCGCGCGTGTCCCGTTCTAGCTCACCTTCTCAGAATCATGGCGTCTGCCACATCCGTACACTGGAACTCGTCAAAACAGAGAACGTTGCCCTGCGCCGCGATCTGCGCCGCCATAAAGGGAACGGCATCGACGTCGTTGCCGTGCTGCATCTTCATCTTGTGCAGCCGCTTGTGGACATCCTGCATGAAGTTGTGAAAGTGAATGCGCGTCTTAGTCCTGACGGAGCTCGGCAGCGTGTCGTAAAACAGGTCCATGAGCATCGTCTTGCCGCTACCGACGTCGCCAAAGAGGTACAGCCCGCGGGGCAAGTTGCTCGGGATCGCTCCTATCGTGGCCTCGGCAGCCTTTCCCCCGCCGAACCAGGATCCGAACATGGACTTGGCAGGCTTGGTGGACTCGAGAGTCGGCTCCTTCACTTCGGGCGCATGGTAGTTGACCAGCTCGTCGCGGAGGTGCTGGAGGCTCTGGATGATACCTGTCCCTCGTCAGCATGTGATTCTCCCCACCCCCATGTTGGGGCCACGGAAGCGCAAAACTTGCCCCTCTGATGCTCGTCGTTGCGCAAAATGCCGTTGTCGACTCGGCGGTCGTATTCTTGTATCGGGCCATGGTCATCTTTCGCGGCTGCCTCTCTCATTAGCACCCCCTTGCGCCACCAAACTTTCGCGATTCTGGTTCCTTACCCCTGTTTCCCTCTGTCACTGTCGCTACTGCCGATGCCGCCCTCTTCTGGCCCCCATTTCTGGTATGTTGCGCAAGAATACTCGTCGAGGGACGGAACCTTCCAGCGCTTGTGTTTTGTCTGCTGGCGAGGCAACTTGTGCAGAGAGAGCGTCGGAGGGCGGCCTGCTCTGTGAGGCCTCGGGTTGTGGCGGCAGAGCCGTTGAGCGATGCGCCCACTCGGCGGAGGGGAAGTGAGGATGCAGCTGCACGGCGCATGGTGGCTGGCAGGAGGGACCAAGGTGAACAAAAGTCGGAAGAAAAAAAAAAGGTCTAAGCGTATCGACAAGAAAAATGCATGTTGCAAGCATGCGCGCGTGCTGTAAGATGGTTGTGTCGCTGTGTGTTTTTTTGGGGGGACAAAACCAAGCCGCTTCGGAGATGTCTCGTGGGATGTGGCATGTGTGTGTGTGTGTGAAAATCAACAAAAATAGACTGGTTCGGCCGGTAAAAGATATCGGAGAAAATGACGCTATTGCCTGCCCGCCGCCGGCTCTCACAACTGGCGCCCGAATTGACCACTGGCGCTGAGAGACGGTGGAGAACCCAAGAGGCCTGTAAATTTGACTGTGGGGATGCCGAAAGATGCCGAACTCCGGACCATGCCGACTTCGGTCTGATCAATTGGATGGCGGCTGCTCACCGAAGGTGGGATTTATTAGGTGACGCTCAGGCCATGATCTGACTTCCAGTTCTCTCACAGATCGTCTCTTTCCTCTCGAGCTTTCATCTGAGAAGTGGACGGGCACTGACCAAATTGACTTGGAAGCATTGCTCCAAGAGCTGGACGCCTTTCTCTGTTTTTGATTGTCCTCCTTTCTCATTTCATCTTTGGTCCATTGCTCATAGACTCCACGACAACGGAACAGGCAAAAATCGTGTCATTCTCGACAGCTCGTCATCAAATTCTATGAAAGGCATTGATGAGCAAAGAGGGAATTAGTGATTCACTGAGCCGACCTGTATCTCCTTCATTTCGTCCATATCTTTATTTGAGAAGCCGGCTTTACCGATCCACATCACAACATGTCAATCCTTATATAAGAAAGGCTAACTTACCTAAACCAAGTCTTGCTTGAAAGACATTGAAGAACAAGATATGAATGAAGAATGGAGAAAATAATACACTATTCAGTACCACTCGTGGCACATCTCGCTTACGGTTAAGGGCATGGAGAGGCAAGCGATCTAAGTCGGCTCCCACATACCCATCCTCTGTGCCAAAGGCCGAGATGCCTGCCTGAAATGCATTCCAGCATCTTTCGGCTTGACAACCAATGCTAGCTCTAGGTTTTTATGTGTATTTTATAGCCCGATCGACTACGCTTTTGTGGATTTTGACGTGGCGTGATACGGATACTTCTGGGGACACTCGTCTTGAGGAATGGAGAGGGGCGGGCCCCAGGGATCCTCGATCCGTGCCATCTACCTGCCAGAGTATGCCGAAGCAGAGACTGACAAGTCGTTTCGAGTTTCATTACGCCTAAAACCTATGACCATCTTTTTACATGTACGGATAGAAACTTCGAATACGTATCCGCCTCACAACGGATAAGAAGACAGCGGTAGATATAATATCCGCGGCATGACCTAGCCTCACCACCCCTTGGTCCCGAATCGTTGAGCGTGGAAGCAAGAAATCCCTACCAAATTTCAAGCAGACATTCCAATTCTATACATAGAATGGCCAGTAGTATAACTCAAAGGATCATAGTAGAGTTTTAGTTCATCTATTCCTACTTTAGCATGCGCAAGTCCAAGTAGAGAAGCTACGCAGCTTGTAGGAAACACTCACAATATTGCTCACTAATCACTATTATCCCGATCCTCAAATCTTAATTGGATTGGAGAACAGCTGGCTCCTAGGACTGATCATACCCAAGCTCCCAAAAAGGGGGTCTGCAGTGAGACTTCGACCCCTAAACATCAGCGGTACTCCCGCCTGCCAGCCTGCCAGCCTCTCTTGCAGGTTTGCAGGCTTACAGCTGCACAGCTCTTGCAACCTCATGGCCCGTCTGGGTAACAGCTTCGCCTTTCGATGCATCAGGCTCCACGAATACCGCCTCTACATGAAGCTTGTACAAGCAAAGAAAAGGGCATGGGGGCACTCAAAAGCACTCTCGCCGATCTTGGTCGGTCAGGGGCGTAGACGGGCAGGCCGCAGCACAACATCGCTAATGCAGTGGGAGAAAGTCTATGAGGAGAGAGAGGGGGCCACGGGGGGCTCATTGCTTCGTCACAAGCATATGGCTTGATTTTGATCCTTTCAATTCTCATAATGAGCTGACAGGAACATTATCTCTCGTGCAGAGTTGCAGCTTGCGCCTGCCTAGCATGAAGGGCTGTGGCTTGGGAAGCGGTCTGCCCGCTTTCTCCCCCTTCTCCAGCTAAAGGTCTAGACGTTGTTGGGCTTGGATTTAACGTCTCCTAGACTCCGGTCAGGGTCTCAGAGGTACGTCTGGATAGGGCAGTGATGTCTGAACGCCCGTAAGTGTAAAGGCGGGGTAGGAGGCGGCCGTTGCCAGTTCTAGGTAGACCGGGAAACTTTCTAGGCCTCGAAAAAGGCCTTGGCTATCGCATGCTATCGCCTCAGATCACAATGGCGTTTACTATCGAGATCTAGATCACCATGCAAAGAGGGGAAGAGAAAGAGTCCAGACTCTCCTGGAAGTATGCTGACTGTAGCTCAATGACTGATCCGAGTCTTACGAATGCTTCAAGTCCACCACGAAATCCATGACCAACGTCTTGCGCCTTTCGTGGATGTGCAGGACGCTAATCACTTTCTTAGTCACGAGGCTCCTCCTCGAGAAGCGAGGGAGGATTCTGGGGTTCACAATTCCAAGGTTACCCCGGCGGCCAGATCATGCAGTTGAATGAGGGAGCTCGATTATCGTCAGCTCTTTGCAGGACCCACACGCAGGATCACACTGGCTACCTACTTTCCCTAATAAGGTACTACAGCGCACCTCTCTTTTGTCTGATATACCTACTCGGGTGCGCAAACAAGGTCTATAGTCTAGAGGCTTCGGGATTATCATTCAGCAGTGAGCGTGTTACCTTGGATAAGGTACGGGAGCTCATGGCCACGACCATAGGCGGGGATTTTGAGGGAGACTCCGAGGAGCGATAGGTGGCAAACCAAAGATACCACCAATCAGCCCTCGAAACTCTCATTCATCACAATGGTTGGCCTGGACCATTGAAGGACCAATTTCGAGCCCTCTTGAAGTCCGTTGGCGAGGCGAAAGCAAGCCCCAGTGAATTCATGGCACACTCTTTCGATGCTTTCCGGAGCTCAGGCTCTCCACTCTCCGTAGCGTTTCTCGAATGAGGCTGTCATGTGGGTTTGTATTGGGAACGACCTGTTTCATGACTTGGTAAAATTGCCATAGCTCAAAGCAGGGCAATATTTCCAGTAGACCCAATTGCTGGCGGGTGTTTACTCCCAAGCTCACGGCAAAACAAGTCATATTGCTTCCTGTGGCCTTTTGGGGGCGTATCGTCAGTTGACAGGGGATTGGCTGGTCATTTTTCTGGCATAGAAGCCCTGTCCCGGATGACAGGGAGTGAGCGCTCACTGAACCTGCTCGTCTTCTGGTACGCACGGATGAGGTGTGGCCCTTTGTTTCTAGTATCTAACCGGTGCTTATTCTTTTCCTACCTTTATGTTCCTTCAGTGATATTGTTCTGTGAGACAGAGAGTTGTGCGTGTTCTTGTGGCATCGTCTTCCTTGTTCGTATGATTAGGAACAATGAGTTTCGACGAAGGTGTGGATATGTTCGAACAATACCACCGTTTATCCTCGGGGGTTGGTAATTGAAAGGAGTCGCCGGACCTCGGGGGCTTATTGCGAGATCAAGTGCCAGAAAATATGCCTTCCGTCCCAGCCGTCAACGCATCAGACACCGGATTAAACGTCTTGTTTGGTAAAGCACGCATTGAAGTACGGAAAGAAATTGCCACAGCACACGATGGCCAGAATTCCTGGATTCGCGACTGTTCGGCGCCGATATCTCACGACAAGGCGTAGTAAGAAACGTGAGAACGATGAGAGTTCTTGGCTAAAGGATACGTTCCTTCCCTGTGTCAGCGATTGGTTGAGGCCGCATGTGGGGAGATGCTTCTTCCCAGCCCGAAGATCACCTTCCTCATTGACAAGCCAGGAGATCTTGTTTGCCAAATTTGTCACCATAGTCAGTTGGCGCTCCGTAGTGAGGCAGAGGCGAGAGGTCTATACGTGGAGCTCTGGGATAGTGTTCCCGCGATGTTGCCTTGCGGGCACGTAGCGGGAGCTCAGTGTTTGGAGATATGGCTCTGGGATAACAAGAGCTGCCCATTTTGTCGACAAAAACTCGTTCATAGTGAATGCGGGCATCAAGTACAACCCCGACATCTCTTCAGCCAGAACGTAGCCTTTACGCCGAACTCAATACCAGATGGAGGCAGCATACCGGAATTATGTTACACATGCTACAAGGCTGCTCTCTGGGTTTCAGCTAACTTCCGGTATCGAACTTGCAAGCGCCGGTTCGAACAAGCAAGAAGCAGGTATCTTGCGTCTGAAAGCCAGGCAGACGCTAATATCCTGCTGCACAGGAAAGTCGATTTTGAGAAGGTGATAGTAGAGGAGTTCTGGGAGAAAGCTATTACAAGCTGGCTGACCCGTTGGTAGAAACGACCCGGAGTCTTGAGGGAAGGGAAGAATACGCCGATTAGAGAAGCGACAGCCGAAAGGAGTTCTGGTGGGCTGCGGACCAACGGAGGAGCTCCGATAGCCGTCCACGGTCCAGTGGCTGTTGGGCGAAACATGCGGTGAAAAGGGTCTCGGATGGCGCTCAATCGTGGAAATCGTGCTCCCTAGCAAAAGACTGCTGCCGAGCCGTATTCTCTCCAGATTTTCTTTTCTTGGATCACATATCGTTGCATGCTAGGCATCCAGAACAGGTCGCAGCCGGTCTGGTCGTCGCGGGTCGCTGACCCCAGGCCATGCTGTCGATGGCGAGCTTTGATACACGTATCTTGCAAAACTTGCTCATGCTCGCCGTCGGCCAGAGATGATGAGTCTGTATAAGTAAGGTAGGCGCCCCATATGGAGTTATCGGTTCCGATGCTGACAGGTTGTGAAGTCTTTCGGGATCGATGGGGGGCCGGGGTGACGATCCGGAGGTGTGTTTCAACAGTCGTCTTCATCGGGATCATGGATGTGGCATCCACAATAGCGATCACGCGTTGGCGGCATAGGCGGAGAGGAACAAAGGCAGTAAAAGCAGGGCTACTGCATGAGCTTCGCAGCAACGGAACGCATCCGCGAGGCCGTCAGAGTGCCAAGACGTTGCGGGTGCACAGACACCACAGATCCAGGGCAGGTCTTATCCGACGTGTACCAGGGCCCGCTGACCGAGGGTCCAGTCCTCGGAGCGAGGTACCGGTGGGGCGGAGAGGGAGGAGAAGGGCGAGACTGTGGACGACAGGCTAGAGCCTAAGTCTAGAGGTAGCCGTAGGAAACGAGGAATGGGGGCGAAAAACAAGAACCGGCATCCTGAATTCTGTATCCGAATTTAGTCAATGTGAAAAAGAAAGCTTTAGAATTCACTAGCCACAATTACGGAGTATGCTGTAATCTGTATGCCTGGCGTGCCACAGGTTATGGCCGTTGACGATCCGAAAGAGTGGAAATGACGTCTCTTTACGTAGGCGGTTATGTCCGTTTGTCGTCAAAACGATGGTGAAGATGGAGAAAGACTGCGTAAGGCATACAGTAGGTAGAGACCTTGCTGCGTTGCTGGGTTCAGTTCAGACCCATTCGAGGGTGCGCGGGAGAAGAAAAGAATGAGAGAAAGAGGGTCGTGATGTGAGTGATGTGATGGGCTGGTGATTTCTGGGTCGCCGGAAGTTGGTACGATTCTGGAAATAAGAAGTGGGTCCAGACGTAGCTTCGGACACTTCACTCCTCGGTTGGACGATCCTTAGCGCCGACGTCGCCCCTCTCCTCCCCGGTTGAGGAACCTAGGGGCATCAGAAGCAAGCACCATGGTCCACGCACCCGTGGCACCAAGCTTGCAAACGTGCAGGCACAACCTAAGTAGGCGTATGTTGATGCCCCGGAGAGCCCCCATTGTTTCCCAGAAATGTGACTCTGTGAGTGATCGCAAGGAACCTGGAAGGTGGGGATGTAAGTAGGGCGTGGGGTGGGTTACCTGGCGACCTATCTTGTCGTCGAATACACAGTACAGAGTACCTAAGTACGGGTAGATCATAGGTAGGTAGTAGATACGGATAAACTGTACGGATACGGCTACTTCGTACGGATGCCTTACCTTGGACAAGGTACCTTGTCTTCCGCCTTTACGGACTGCATGGGGGTGGGTATCTTTGCCTGCCATTATCTTACCTAACCTAGTGCCTAGCCTCGACCTCGAGCCGCCTGTTGTTGGTATGTAAATCACATCTCGACTTTCTCGAGGTTGGGTGCTGGACCCTGGTACCCAGCTGAAGCTGTGGCGTGAGCGCCTCTGTCTCACCGTGTGCTCTATCCGCTTTCGTGACTAACCCGAACTCGATCGCTCCATCTATACCTGGAAAAGACATCAAGTTAGACCGGATGGATGGGGCGAGACTAAGGTAAGCAGGCACCTCATGGCAAATATTGCCTGCCGGCTTCAACTCCGCTGAGCAATTCTAACGAATCACGTCTAACACAAGAAGAGAACCCTGAAATACCGGAGGCCGCGTGTGGCAAGACCTTGGCGCCTTTCTATGTATTACCATCATCCTCTCAACATTGTCCGAGATGTTCCACACCCTTGGTGACGGGCCTCAAAGTTCAAAGTATTCCACTACTTCGACAGCCTGACAGGTAGCATTTCTGCCCGCGCTAGATCCTACCCGCCTTCGTTGGTCAAGTCAGAAACCCACCTCAGTTACGAGGGAGCTATTCCTGTCGTCATTTCCGGCCATCACCGTTGCATCGTGACACCAACCGACAAGCCCTGAATCCTCCAGTCGATCAGGCACAGCAAAGATCCATGATTACTGATGTCTGGGCGCAAAGAGGCATCTGTATCGCAACGCTATTCGTTACCTCATTCCCACCTATCATCTCCTCGTCAATCGCCACCAATCTACCGACTACCTGCAATCCATAGAACAAGGACAGGCTCAATCAACTTCTGGGTCCGCGTCTCTCGTGGTGTACCTATGCCTAACATTACAGGAAAACGATGCCTAAGCAAACCATCTGCTAGATGACTCTGCTCCCCGTCAAACAGTCGCCATCTCCTTGAGACCTCCGATATCTGGCACGTTGCCCAATGACAGTCCCGATACGAAACTCAGCTTTATCATAGGCTCTCGAGTACCCACCCAAACGGATGTCTTGCAGCAGCCAGAAGATATCTTCGAACGGTTCCGTCAACGGAAGGCGAACCGTCACTTGAACCCAAGAACCGGGAAAACTGGGGGTTCAGGACAACACGATAGACGATCTGTGGCTTGCTGCCAATGATACGCCAGAATTCTTCCCCATTCAAGCTTATCCTCTCAAGCGGCTGTTGAACATTCCGCATCTGTCCTTCCCCGTTGAAAGTCAGACATCCCGCCCTGTCCTCTCAGACTTCGCCCCCGGACCCGGCACACATGAGGGCGAAAGACGCTCCAGCCCAACGAGGAAAAGCAAACATGACATCCAGGGCCATTGCCTCCTTCGGCCACGGCAGCTACGATCATCCCAGACCTGTATCCGTACCGTTGCACTGGGACCAGCATCAACCAAAAGTTCCAACTCCCAACGCCATGCTTCAAGTGACAATCCCAGTCCATCTAGGAGCCCCTTTCTTCGACGCACCGCGACAGCCGAAGAACAAGGCGCGCATGCTTTTACGGAGTCATCGTGCACAGCTCAGGGGCGATATCACTGGCCGAGAGCACGTAGGAATTGAGTCCATATTACCAAGACCCTCTGTTCTGGTGACTTTCTAGCGTCCGAACCCCCAACTTTCCGTCGAGCCTGTCGGTCAGGGTCCACCGACAGACGCGCACTTTTGGGGCCACGGGTGGCTTTTCGCATGAGGAGCTCGCTTACTCCGGCTATGTCTCTCCCTCGCATGCCTCGGTCGTCTTGAGCCGCAAGAGCTCAGCTCACCAGAGAGCAAATGTTAAGCTTCTATGGCTAATCAAACCCACGGATGGGATGTGTTGATCTCAGGCAGCTCCGATTCCTCTTGGCCGGAACAATACTCAACCCTGAATTATACGTTTCCGTCGATTGGCTGCCCAGAAACAAGCAAGATCTCACGACAGTGAAGTATCGGAGTTCCCGTTTGGTCAGCTGCGTTGCCTCCTCATTATGCCTAGTGGCTTGGGGTCCGGTCTGGCCTCTTCCTGGACGATACCCCTACCACCTCAGCAGGAGACCTCGTAATCCTTGCTCTTCCCCTCTGTCGGACCAGTCTCGGCCAGGGCAAGTCATCCTCCACCCGTCTTTCAAATATTTTCAGGCTGTCTGTGATTTGCCGGTCCGTTGCGCTTTCTTTTACTGCAGCAATATGTCAGGCCTGGAAGCCCTTGGTGCGGCCTCGCCAGCTGATGCTCTTGTTCACATCCCCTCAAGTCTTCCCGATGAAACAAGCGTCAGCTAAGGCTCTAAAACCCCACAGTCTCTTGCATATGATAGATGCCCAACCTCCTAAGACATCTAGTTGACCTTCAGTCGTATGCTCCTCGAAGAGAAAGCCCAATTCCTGTTCCTCCATCCACGATCACCATCATCCCCTCAGAAGGCACAATCCCCCATATTTCGAAAGTGCGTCGTCGTCGTCGTCGTCGTCGTCGTCGTCAACAACCCGCACAATAGCCAATGGAAGCGGTTAGTGACCTTTTGGTTCCAAAAGAGCTCGACGTGGAGCTCCACATGGGCAACATTCTTCCCCCGCGGATGGACAACTTACCAACCCTTTCAACGTAGGAAAAGGAGAGGAACCGCATCCGGGATAACCAGCGCCGTTCGAGGGCTCGAAAGAAAGAGTACGTTCAAGAAATTGAGCAACGTCTTCGGCAACGCCAACTTCAAGGAGTCGAGGCTTCTGCTGAAGTACAGCAGGCAGCACGCCGAGTTGCGGATGAGAACCACAAGCTTCGGCAACTCCTTCAACATGTGGGCTATGGCGACGAAGTCGTTGAACAGTACATTCAAACCGGCAAACTCGGTTCTCCAAGTCATCGCGGCCTGCATACTCCAAACACAAGCGGCAGCTTGGTCCCTGAGAAAGCGACAGAAACGTTGGAGGGTCTCTTGATTCCACGGCGGCCATCATGTCTCGATATTCAGATGCCAATTCTGCCAACGAGCAGACATACCAGCCCAGACCGAACTCTTTCATACGGTCCTACGCCAGACTCGCCGGTCGAGGAATATGGTTCTCCATCGGAATCTGTCCATCAAATCCATGCCTCGGCGGCTGTTTCACCGACAGACTTTGGTTCTCAACAGGTCTACGCTCGCGCCGGCGACATGAAAAATCGAGATTATGCAGGTCATCACCACCGCCCACTAACGGTCGAGTGGGCAAATACCCACCAAAATCAGTCTACCCATGGTATTTCATCAAATATTCAGGGATTCGGGGCGAATCAGACGCTCGATTATCATCCGCCATTCCCGGGCATCAATCCTTCAGCAGGCATGCTACCCCCAACATGCGGCGGACCGCCCTCCGTGCCGTACATCGCGTACCAGACTTTTCATCCCCAGCCGCCGGCGTTCATCGCAGCTGCTACTAGTCATATCGAACACGTCTCCGTCGTCGAAGCGGATCCCGCTATGGAAGATCGCAAACCGCAGTACAGAGGACACCCAGATGACCATTCTTGGCAATACAATACCCGACACAATTGAAGCGGATTCGAGCGTTGTTCTTTGAGGAACTCGACGCAGTTTTAGACCCTTCTAAACAAGGCTTTCTGCCGCGCAGACGAAGCCAAAACCAACAATGGAGAGCGGATGTGCCGTTGGAAATCCGATGGAACAATCAGTCGAACAATTTGGCCGGAACCCTATTATGGAGCCCTATTCTTTGAATGGAGATCTCGAATAGCAGTGCCTTGACACTCCTTCTTTGGAGTTGTACATGGATTTTGCCGATGTACACAATCAAGCACAGACGAGGCTGGTCAAAGAAAACCAATTATTGTTCCCTACCTGTGTCACCGAGACTAATGGGAAGGACATGAAGCACAAAGGCAACGAAGGCTCGTGAGAACATGGCCTTTGGCAAGTGCTGAAAGCGTTGCATTCTCTAGGGATTCAGACCAAGAGTGTTTACCTCTGCCGCGACGTTCTTTGTATGAAGAATGCGCATGGAGCGACTGTATAGGGGGCATGCCGGCGACCCGTTGAGCCATCTTTTCGCCAGCCGGAAAGGACCAAAGCTCCCATGAAAGAGCTCACCGGACACGACATGGAGGAGTTGATAAGAACTATCTTTAATAAATCTAATGCCCACGGTTACCACTGACTAATTCTCTTGTTCCCTTTTTTCCCTCAAGTCAATTTTGTGTGTCTACTCGAAGAAATTTCATCCACATCCTGCCCCCTTTTTGCATTATTACCAAAAATTCTAGATTGTTCAAAACTTCAATGTCGGATTACAGTCAAGAGAGGATGACCACGGTGGCGATATTGGCCATATCACAGAGAATCGAGTTTGAGAGATGTCTTGCGGCGATGAAAGCCCGCAAAGGGGGTCACGGCTCCGATACTCTGGACGTTCTGCGACGTCTGGTTTGTGAGGCTGAAGACGCCCGCGGGATTCTGTCGAGTCTTCGGGGAGAGATTACCGGGGACGCATATGATGCCATACATCATATGCTAGAAAATCAGATCCTGTTAATCAAAACGCAGATTCATGAGGTTGCGCCAGAGGCGGGGAAATCGTTCCTGCAGACGCCAATGTCGAATCCACCGCCGCAGCAATCGAAGAAACAGCAGCAGCAGCAGCAACAGCAGGAGGGAGACACCCTTCAAAAACCGCCGTCTCCTTTACCAAGACCTTCCAGGCCCCAAAAAATAAAACTGCCATTACCGCGTCCGCCCTCCCTACCTAGACGGCTTTATGATGCTACGCCAACGAATAATGCGACGGACCAGTCAAACCCCCCTGAAAAGCAGAAGTCTCCTGCCCGTGAGATCAAGGGGTTCCCTCCGCGAGCGACTAGAGGACGGCGTCAAACTACAAAGTCCTCAACCTCACGCCTTCCAGCGCCAGCAGAAGGGGAAATAAAAGACCATGATTCAACGGGGCCAACGAGGGGGAATCAAGCGGGCCGTCGCCGTCATCAGGCCAGTGTAAGTCCTCCACCCCAGAGAAGATTCAAGCTGTGGCCCACCGCAAGTAACAAATACTCGCGTCCAGCGTTTGAACCTCTTTTTTTTTGAGAGAAAAGCGAGAACCCCTGAGAACCCAGAAGCCGGGGGATGTAAGCGGTGCGATTCACCTCCGCAAACAGCTCGACGAGCAAGAAGAAAGAATCGAGGCGGCTAACGTGGAAAAGCGGAGTGATGATGTTAATGGTGAGACGGAGAGTGAGTACGAGGGTGAGGCAAAGGCGGAGGTGGAGGATGAAAGTCAGTCAGGGGGCGAAGGGGAAGAGGGAGAGAGACGCGGCAGGAAGAGGTCCGCGGAGCATGACTTGTCCCCGCCGACTCCTAAGAAATCTCGCTCTGAGCTTCGTGGCGGGCAGAATGGTGGTAGCCCAGGGCGTATCAAGAGGTTCATAAACTCGCTTAACCCCTTTCGAAGCAGACAGACTAAGACCCAGGAAAGCAGAGACGCCGAACCGACCACTGTACCGAGCAAACCATACTCACCGGAGCCGGCGGTAGAGTGCTACATCTTCGAGGACGCACTCAACTCGAGAGACTCGTTTGACAACGGAGAGGAGGATCAAATGGCCCTGCGCTACCGCGACACCATCGCGGAGCTCATCCAACTAGTCGACGACGCGCCGCACGCCATCACGTCCAAGGATCCCCTCGTACGAGACTTCCAGAGGAAGAAACTCGAAGAAGTCCAGGCCGTCCTGCGCGAGATCCCGAACATTGCCATCGCGAGAAGGAGAATCGACAAAGAGCTCGTGGAGATCCGGGACGAGAAGCAGGCGATTCGGACAGGGTGTACCAATCTCGATCGGGCGAGCAGGACGGCGTATGTGAAGAAGCTCAGACGGGATGAGGGAGTCTTGACGAATCTCCTGCAGAGGTCAGATAAGCTCAACGAAACGATTTTTATCTTTGGTGCAGAGGGCGCGGCGATTATTACCCATTGGATCTTGGAGACGAAGAAGCGCGTGGATTTGGAGTTGGAGTTTGGGGCGAGGGCGCAGATGGTGCCGGAGTTTCTCGGGGTTCAGAAAGACGGTAAGGAGATCTTTAGCGTATGAAAAAGATACCAGTTGCGGTTTTAGAGGTGCCGGGAAGAGGAAGAAACTAGGGTAGATATACTAGAGACACTGTTTGTTGCCTTAAGGAGTGTAGTCGGGATAGATATCACAGAAGTGGTTGGTAGGCCTGTTGTACGAATATCATGAGAGAAATGCATTGCTCGCGCCGAGTCCTCTTAACTCCAGTTGATCATCCATCAACCCCTATACATACACGATCAGGGGGGGAACGCGTAAGATTTGCCCAAAACCGCTGATCATTCCGTTGTCTTTTTTTCGCTATTTTCAAACTTGAATATTTGTGCCGTTTTGAAACAAAACAATAGAAAACGCTTTTGGTATCGTCATTATACCGGGAATATCTCTCGCCTCCCACTGGGAAGTCCATGAACCGAAACTACCTCCCTTTCTTTACAAAAAGTAGTCCGCCACGGGCTTCTTCGCAGGCATGCCCCTAGAATCCTGCGGCGCGGCCTGGAACACACGGTACCTCCTCGCAGGGCCGGGAAGCAGCACCTGGTCGTCGGTGCCCCGGATACTGCCGTCGCTGCGTCCCCTGTCACCGTTGCTGCGCGCGAACACACCGGTGCCCGAGTCGTCCTCCGCCAGCTCGAGGATGGCCGCTACGTTGCCGCAGCGGTAGCAGTAATTCGGCGCCGACCACACCGTCACGATACTGGCGTCGAACATCTCCTTGAAGCCTTCCATGACCAGCTGGTGGGCGCGCGCAATGAGCGAGAGGTCGTTCTTGTGGTTGAAGTCGCGGACGATATCGGCGCCGAACAGGAAGCCTGCGCCGCGCGGCGAGAGACCCCAGCCGTCGATCTCGTCTGGATCGGACCAGAGGAGGTCGCACATGGCTCCCTCGTGGGGAACCTCTTGCTTTCTATCCAACAGTCGGATTTTATCGACGCTGTCTATCAGTGGGGATAGACCTCCGTGGACGCAGAGGATAGCTCCGGCAGGGTTGCCCAGGGACCCTGAAGAGCTTCCTGATGCGCCACTACCTGGCGGACCTGTCTTGTCGCCGCCGGACGAGGGCGCACCGTTGGGGCTGTTTGTAGGTTGCCTTTGTGGCCGTCTCTGTCGGGGGAAGCGGCTCATTGTTGAGCCGTTTTGGTCGCAGACCTCAATCTCAACATCGTCGTTCATGCCTTCCGGTCCCGGGGTGGAGGGGAATGTGTGTGACGCGCCGAGGACGATGGCGCCGAGAGCGAGGTAGTCGAATACGTCGCAGCAGTACCGCCAGACGTTGGCGGAGCCGTATTTCCTCAGGCATTCATCGTAGAAACCGTAGACGGTGGTGATTTGGCGGGATTCGTGGTTGCCCCTGATAAGGGTCATGCGGTCGGGGTAGCGGACTTTGAGGCAGAGAAGAAGGAGGAAGGACTCGAGGGAGTAGAAGCCACGGTCGACGAAGTCACCTATACGAAAGAAGCGTAAGCACACACAGGAAGTTCAGTGGAACGGCGAAAGATCATGGCGGCATACCCATGAAGAGGTAGTTGGTATCGGGAACGTCGCCGCCTACTCGGAAAAGCTCCATGAGGTCGTGGAACTGGCCGTGAATATCGCCACATATCTGATCCCATGTTAGCGTCTGCTCGCCTTCAAACTATCGTAGGGAGACCTTATCATACCGTGACGGGAGCTGTGACGGTGACAACATTTCCTTCCTCAATGAGCAGCTCGCGCGCCTTGTGGCATAGCTCTCGGACTTGCGCTTCGGGTATCGGTCGGCAGGCGCGCAGTTGCGCAATAGCTCTATGCGATACGTCAGCGTCTCTTGGTCATATGAAGCAGATCGCGATCGCGAGCATGCTCACTTGTCAAGGTCGCTCATTGCGAAATTTGAGGAGGGGTTCCCTGGTCTGGGTCGCGGCGCCCGAGGCCGAGGACTCGCAGTATCGAGATGGAAAGGATGGTGGTGGTACTCGTTCTACTTTATAGCATGTCGCGCGGAGTATTCGATTCCGGGTCGGTGCGATCGACGGCGGCTACCTGACGTCGTCGTAAGAATGCGGATTGAGCACTTGCGTTGGGCGATCAAGGCTTCGAGGATGGGATGGCGTCAGTAAAGTTCAAAGACGTGCATGGTTGCCCTCTAGCGGTCGCCGGTCGCCTGCCAACCCCCAATTCGAACTTCCAATCGCGCCGGGATCTGCAAAGTGGATATATGGTCAATGCGTTCCTGTGGGTTCGTTTTTCGAGTGCATCCCGGCCCGGGGATTTGTTCATGCTCCATCTCGGATCTTTAGTTATTACGGTGACCGAAGATTAGATCCTCAGGCATGCGGCATGCAGTCGTTGGCTGGCATGTCACGTCGCCCAGGGTGGTCCCACTCCGGGCCGCCGGAATCCAATCAGAAGGCCTGCATATCAGTTCGGGTCATTGGGTCATTAAGCTTCACTGCAGGTTTGCGAGAAAATCAGCCGTCAGCCATTGTCGTCACGCATCTAAAGCCTTCATCAGGGAACTGCATTCGGACCCGTCAACCCGTCGCGCGAGCATGGTGCTGTCATAGGTGAGTAGATTCGGTCAATTGGGCTTTTCTGATGGTTTCCCACGTCGCTAACGTCCAATGGCAGCAGAAGATCGAAGCCTCCTTTTTCCAAACACCCATAAAAATAAAAAAAACCGCGATCATGCCACCACACCCCCTCCACCCGAGGTCGCGCATGACCTCTTCGCTCTTTGCAACCACGGTTGTCGCAAGCTTCTTCGTAGTCGGTATGCCGCATCTGCTGCCATGCCCAGCACCAAGAGTCACATACGCCGACGGAGAGATAGTGGTGGGCGAGGACGGCCGCCGAAGGAGGCGCCGCCGTCGCGAGGCAGCCCCCGAAATCAATGACGGCGTCGTCAGCTTCAATCAGATGAGCGACGAGGAAACGATACGAGCAAGAGAAGAGCGATTGAGGAGGGAGTGCCCAGTACCGAAACCTGGCGGCATCTTGGGCGAGTGGTTAGGATTCCACGGGCCGAGCAAAGCGGAAGATAGCAGCAGAGCGGGAAGGTGACGACGGCAGATGAACATATGTATTGAACATATGTACAACTCAAAGATACCATTTACGATCAACAGTGCGGTCCCTACGGCGTAGAACATGCGGATTCCGATAGACGAAGTACCACGCAGGCAGGAGATGGTCAATGTGATAAGCGTGCAATCACTCAGCAAGCAGTTGTTCGGCCGAATCTAGAGGAGATGGATGGATGGATGGGTTGAGGACACTCGCCTACGCCAGTAAGAAAAAAAAAAAAGAGTTCACCCCCCGGTGCTGAATTCGGGGCTACATCTCTTGGTGCTCATGCTGGGATTCGAACTCGGGTACTCGCTAAGCCTGTCGTCGAGTAGGCTGGTAGGCGTGAATAATTGATTGTAGATAGACCATTAACCATTCCACCACCTACGCCACAGTTTGACCTGACCCCCGACCTAGAGGGCGCCTGCTGTGCTGGTGACAGGAATGGGATTGAGGGGGCCTATATGGGCTTGCTTCTGTGGTGTATTCGGTAGAGCTGGGATGAATATACATGCACGGGATGATGATTCACTGAACCTATCTGAGTTGATACGAGAACCAACAAACACCATGGGCCGCCTCGGGGAGCAGATATCCCTATTGGGAAGGGATGGCACTGAACAGTTCGAATCCTCTCGATTCCCGCGTGTTTCCAAGAGCTCTAGCTCAAGTGAGTAACCCAACATGAGCTTTCCCACCGACACCTCAGTTGTTGCCTCAAGTGGCATGTTCGACGATATATCAAGCTTTCAGTCGACCGTCCTCGGATGCAGGTCGCACGCAACGCTGCGACATCGGCTGCCACGCCTTTAGCAGCGTCAATTGGCGACAGGAACGGCGGCTACACTTCCTCGGGCGACGTGGAGGCAGGTGGTAACAGAAGGCTTCAGATGCAGATGTGCTTCGAACCCTGTCCTGCCATTCCATGAGCCAAATGAAGATTCTTCAACTTCAAATCATGAACTCGATGCGCGACACATCATGTACGATACTCCATGGCCCAGGTGACTTGTGAGGCTCACGATCACACATGCAATGATATATCTTTGATACCAATACTTGGGGTCTGTTGGTCGGGGCTTGCCAAGTCTAAATAAGCAGTCATCCTGAAAAACAAGGTTATTTTGGAATAACTGCGCCTGAAACCTAGGTGCAGTTCGCCCTTGCAGAGTTGCATCAGCTTGATCCTTGCGAGCTTTGAGCAAGAACACGGCTGGGGACGGGACATGCGGGTCGCGTTGACGAGAACAGACGAGTATTCTGCTTGATATTTTCAATTTTCAAAATCCGAAAGCGGCTAGCTGGGGCACTTGGAACTTGACATTCTTCCAAATTGCCACTTCCTCCGAGTCATCCTCGCTGAAGATTATCAAGATCGCCGCTCATCTCTCTCATGTTCCGTTTCCCAGTAAAGTTTTCATACCCCTGAATTTTGGTGTTAAGAAGTGCCGCGAGCTTATTACGTATGATCTTCCGGAAAATATACACACAGGATTCGCCTCGCCTCAACAGTGAAGCAATGCCTGTCTACGTTGCCAGGGCATAAAGCGAAAATTTCCCACGGCTTTCTCGTGTTCCGTTCACGACCGGGCGATCGTGGGGGGATGAGACGTCGGAAGAGACTCGGGCAAGTGATCCGTGCTGTTAGGCAACGCCCCTGCTTCCGGCCCGCAACCTTAACACCCGCTAACAATATCTGACGCAGGGAGCCCCTGATGGACGCCTTGGCGTAGAGGGGACGCTGGCCAACTTTTTAGTCATTGCTGTTCCCGCAAACCACACGAACCGTGAACACAACGCAAGCCTCACAGCCACTCGGTAAGAGTAACAAGGTTGTCTTCTTTAGCTTGTCTGCGGGGCGGAGGTGTACCACATGGGCGGCTTGCGGTCTGATCTCCAAGGCGCCAAGAACGGCTCAGATCAGTCGAAACAGCCGGAGGACGAATCACCAAGAACGCCTGGAGCCTTGGGGGGCTTTCAGTATCGTGGTTTAGAGTTAAGGAACTTGGGGTGACGGGTGCCATCTGTTTTCTACCGGGGGCACGACTGAGACCGGCTTCAGCACACCCATCGTATGCCGGCCTTTGAACGGTGGAGACCTCCATGCTGCTTCGCACTTTGGGGAGGAGGCAGACGCCACACCAGACTGGCAGACCGTTGGCATTGTTACGCAACCGACAATCCCGGATGGCATCTGTCTCATGAGCCCTGATAGATGCCATCTGGTCAGCAGAGGCTCTGGGCTGGGGCCGGGGGGGCGCTAACCCAATGCCGGGCCTGTTCCACACGACGACTTATGCTTAATGGCATTCCGGGAAGATGTGAAGTTAAATAGACTTCGTTCCCCCGAACCAGAGTATGTTTTGCTCCTCATCCCTTCTCTCAGGACAGTGTCTTTTCTCTACTTCAAACTTTCAATTCTATTCTTCAAGAGCTGTGCTCTATTTCCATTCATTCTCAGCTTCTCTGTCATTCCTTGATACCCAATTGTGAGTTGTCTTCCCTCCGTAACGAGCTCAAAAAAGACACATGCTGACAAGAACGTCCAGTTTATACCGTTTTCACTTCACGACAGTCATTCCAAAATGAAGTCCTCCATGATCCTTCTCATTGCTACCGGCCTGGTGTCGGGTCTGAGCATCCCTAAGCAGCTGGACACCCGCCAGGCCATCGTCCAGGCCCCGGCCGCAGCAGCACCCGCCGCCGCACCCGCCGCTGCTGCTCCTGCTCCGGCACCTGCTGCTCCCGCCGCACCCGCTGCTGAGGCTCCCGCCGCTGCACCTCCTGCCGCTGCTCCCGCTGACGCCGCCACCGAGGAGGCGAAGAAGAAGGCCGAAGAGGAGGCCGCTAAGAAGGCGGCCGAAGACGCTGCCAAGGCTGGCGAGGGCGCCGCCGCTGCTCCCCCCGCTGAGGCTGCCCCCCCTGCCGCCGCCCCTCCCGCCGAGGGTGCCGACGCTGCCGCCGAGGCCGCGAAGAAGGCACAGGAGGAAGCCGACGCTGCCGCCGAGGCCGCGAAGAAGGCACAGGAGGAAGCCGCCAAGAAGGCTGCTGAGGACGCTGCGAAGAAGGCGCAGGAGGATGCTGCCAAGCAGGCCGAGGACAAGCAGAAGGAGGCGGCCAAGGAGGCTGCTAAGCAGGCCGAGAAGGCGATGGGAGACTACCAGAAGGGCGACAACAACAAGGGTAACAACAACAACAATAACAAGGGCAAGAACAACAACAATAACAACCAGAACGCCCTGTTGCTCCAGAACATCCAGCTCCTCCTCGCCGCCATGAACCTTCAAAACGTCGTCAATGTCCAGGCCCTCGCTCAGCTCCAGGCGCAGCAGCAGCTTGTCATGCTCGCTCAGCTCCAGCAGCTCGCCCAGCTCAACGCCGTCGGCCTCGTCAACCAGGTCCAGGTCGTCGCTCTCATGCAGCAGGGTCTCGTCCTCGGTGGCGTCCAGCTCGGTGGCGTCCAGGTTGTCAAGATCCAGTGAACAACATTGTTCCAGGAATTCAAGGAGGGGTGTGTGTGGTATGATCTACAGGGATGTAACTGCAATGTTGTAATTGAGAAAAATTTTCATCGGAAAAGGAAGAGCAATCATTCAGTCTTTAGCACCGGGGGCGAACCACTGTGTTGTGCTGTTTAGATGTCTCATGCGTGCGGAGGTGCAAGGGACCCCGCGCCGCGTGACCGGTTGGGCTTGACGTCCCTAGTGGACGGGCTCGCTTGGAGGTTGAGGTGACACTGGTAGTACTTCCCTACCTGATCTCCTCGCTTCCGAGGCAGAAAAGGGGGTGAGACTAGGTGGTCCGCATGACATGGGAACGGGTTACGGTGCATTAATCAACGGCTCTGCATATCAGACTAGGATTTGGCAAGTGCTTTAATGTAGTTTATGAAGATTCATCAATACTCCACCTGTCAAAACCTCTAGGTTTCACTTTTTTACGTTGTCCCTGTCTCAGAACTTTGCTGATGTCGCGAGGGGGGTTCGCGTTTGAGGCGGGATATCCCTGTTCAAATGCCAAATTTGTTGACAGCAGCTTGACTTAAGCTTATTCTTAATGAAGGTTTATTTGATCAATTTGATTGTTCCTTACTCAGTGCAATCCCACAAGAATCATAGTAACATGGCGAATGTTTCCATTTTAGTTGTTTTCATGCCCCTATGCAACTTGGTCAAGCAGCAGATAACCTGTACAAAGAGAACGATTTCCTCTTGGGGGGGGGGGGGGGGGGGGACAAGACGACAACATCTGCATTTCGTCCTTCTCCCACAGGTCTACCGCAAAAGAAGTCGACAGCAAAATGTGGTATCGAGATGCGCTCGTCAAACGCAAATCCAACCCTCCTCTTCCCGGAAGCGCAGAGCATCCGGATTGCGGGGGAGGAAGACGTCAAAAGAAGAAGGAAAAACAGGGTGACATCTGCAGCCCTGTCGGTCCTTGTCGTCAATGCCATGGAGGGAAGATGCCTCATCGACAAAAGCCTGAGACACTTGGAGGGGTTCGGGGTTGGTGAGCCGAACAGGGGGATCCGACAGGGGGATCCGACGAGGGTTGTGGGCTGCATGACAACTTGACAGCAGCAAAGTAAAAGGGCGGGTGTTGATGTTGCACTTTGCGCCCGGACCGCTTGTCAGTGACGCTAGAGGTTCTGACTTGCTGAAAGAGGAGAATTGCGGGGGTTAAATTAGCCAATTATATACTCATATAGACTCGCAGGGGCCCCACGACGGTCCGAGGGAGACAAATGGACCCCACTGACACGAGTTTAAACAGCCACTAACTAAACCTTAGTTGAGCCGCTCCGACGTCAACAGTACTCCGTACACTAAGGTACCTCCCGCCTGAGCTGTCTCTCTTCCATGATCAGTTGCATCGAGTCGTTGTAAAGACTGTGCCAATCATGACTGCTCATCCCAGTCCTGAGAAAGAGCAGAAAACCACGCTGTTCTCCTCCCCATCCGATGATCAATGTCACCCTCGCCCAACGCATCGCCGGCGAGCCGGCTCGGCAGTCTCCTAAGGCAGAGCGCACATCCTGACGCGAGTGCAACGAAGCCCAACTTCATCCCGTCTTTGAGCTGTCAGAGACCCCAGCGGCCCAGCCTTAGGATGGACCCATCGGATCTCCCATCACCCGGCCAAGAATTTTCTGTCTATAGCAGCCGCGCAGGTCTTTCGGATGACACATACCTGCCATCGCAGCGTCGTCCCATCCCGCTGCGTCTGACTTGCCACAGCGCCACCCTTGCTTCTATAGCCTTTTTTCCCGACTCCATCGCATTATCGCCGCATAGTCCCAGCACCACCCTCACAAAACCTGTGATCAAACCAGCGTCTTTCACCTGCTTCTCCTAATCATCAGACCCTACGAAACAGACTTTGGCTCGGTTCTGGGTGCAGATCTCATGAGTCTATTCCAGTTTCCGTCACTCCTCGCCCTCACAAGTCCGCGGGAAGAAAATCTCGCTGGAAGGTCCATGTGCCGGCTTGGCGATGGCTGGGACGAAAGTTTCCGTGTCACCATTCCGTCGGCCGAGTAGCCGCAGGACCCGCCAAGTAAGGTTATTTGGGCATTGCGTTGCTTGGCCCACGGGGACATCAATTACCTTGCCTTGGTTCGTTTCCTTGACGTTGACACTGATAACTCGCTCTCGTCACGGCCAAGTGGCTTACTGCTACATGTTCTTGCTCAACCTATCTATCTTGATGATTACAACACTCTACAGAAATCAGATATCGAGATGAGAGAATTCCATGAGGTAAACCTAAACGCTTTGGTACGATGGCCATCATGGCCTATCGCACCCTTTGCTGGAATCACCAGCCATCCCAATACAGGTCGCTAGATCGAGCCAAGGGTCGCATCGCTTCCGTCATCCGAAGAAACGTCCTCTTACCCCATGCTGTATGCGTCCCCTCGTGACCCCTAGTCTCAATGACCCCTGTCAACCCGTTTGATCCAACATTATTCCGTACCAGCGATATCGAGACTCTGATACGCATCGGATCACTCGTTCACGACTCTTCCGAGCGCAAATCGTACCTTAATTCACCTTGGTAATGGCCCAAATGCTTCATGCCTTGCTGAACAGTTCAGACGTCGACGTACACCGATTTTGGCTCTTGGTATCTTGGCTTCTGTTCTGTCGACATATAAGCCACCGTCTCGCCGCGAGCAGGAGACAAATTCTTTTTACTTCTCCATCCACACGCATTCAAGTCTTTCATCCAGTCCGATCTCACTCATTCCCTTCATTCATTCTCTTCAGAGGTGAGTCTTATATCAAGATCAGACAAGAGAGTACCCTACTGACTCGCAACTAGCTGTGCTCGTTGTTCTCTTCACTCTTTTCAAGTCGTTTACCAAAAAACCAAAACCACTCTATACAGGAACATCAAGAGCTGTGCTCTCTTCATACATAATACCTTTTTAATCAACCTCAACCTCCCAAACCCATACCACCTCCAAAATGCGTTTCTCAACCATCATCCTCTCCACCCTCACCGCCTTCGCGGCCGCGGCACCCGTCACGGACACCCTCGAGCCCCGCCAAGGTAACAACAACAACAAGAACAACATCGACCTCGCCAACCTAAACAACCTCCAGGGCTTCCGCAACCTCGACCTAAACTACCTCCTCGCCCTCAACAACCTCAACCTCCAGGGGCTCGGCCAGCTGGACCAGGTCAACAACCTCAACCTCGCCGCCTTCCAGAACCTCTTCGCCGCCCAAAACTTTGACCTCAACGCCCTGCTGCAGCTGCAGCAGCTGTCCACCGTGCTCGCGATCCAGCAGCAGGGCGTGTTTGGCAACGTCAACCTGGCGCAGCTGAACCTCGGCGGGTTGAACCTCGGGCTCATTGGCGGGGTTGGGCAGGTGAACTTGGGGCAGTTTATTGACCAGGGGTTGGTTGGGCAGATTAACCAGGTCGTTCAGCAGTCTTCTGGTACGTTTTGACCTGACATGTGGACTAGTGGAATTTCGAACGCTAATCATTGGGGTTTTGTGCAGTCGTTGTTGTTGGCAAATAAGCATTCCGCATCTAGTCTTCATGGGATGGGGTGATGTAATGCATTCATAAAATGGGACACGAATTGTCACATTCAGGATATGGTGTTTCAATCTCTTTTCTTTTCTCTTCTCTCTTAATGACCGGTGCATGAACTTTCCTTGATTCTACAAACTTGGGGGGACTTGGTCGATACAGGTACTAGAATCAAGATGGCATGTATGGATATAGGTACCGTGGCAAATGACGAATCCTCATCCAGATCGACTTTCCGCTGCGTATGAATGGTAAAATGGTATGGAATTCTCAGTGACGCTGGTGATATGGTTTCAGTGAAGTTGCTGTCATTAGTCCAATTCAAGTTCCTAGACTTAGATACAAAGTCACCAGGTCTAGTGAGAACAATCGAGACATGACGCACTTGAGACCTAGGCTTGTGTTTGATCTTCAAGCAAATGGCAGAATAAGCCCCAACACTAGTCACCACTACATATGGTAGTTTGTATATCCGTGGAAAATTAAGATGTTTCAAGAGCACGAGTGGGTCTTAAGTGGCTTCTGGAACACGGGCATCTCGAAGTCCTCGCAAAGATCTACCAGGTCTTGTCCGTCAAGCTGACAATCTTTGGGGCCCTTCATTCATTTCCAACTATCGAGATCGCGGTCAACATACTGCCCAGTTTTTCATCACATTCAGCATGACCGGTACGTTCGTTCCCCCTATCGCTAAGCCTCCCACCAGACGCGCAGCTCTGCCCGAATCTCCCACCAAAAACACGTATCACCACCAGTTCGCTTGTCTCCGTGATCTCCTTGTCATTTGCTGACTTCCCAAACCCCCGCAACGACCCCCCTCAGCTCACATATAACATCGGGGCTTCTACCTGATCATCCCAAACGTGATAACCATCTCAAGAAGCACCTCACGACGCGGGTCCAAGAAGAGAGATTCCACCAAAATCATTCAGCCGAGTCAGAAATGGTAATGCTCCTGGACAGAGCCGGATACAAATTATACCGAAAGAAATGGAATTTGACAACCTCCCCCATCCGTTGCTCGTACTCCTCCATCAGTACTCATCCCAAAGTAGGCTGTCATTTTCCGTTTAGCCGCCCGTAGCTGAGTTACGGGGTTGTTTTGTCAAAACGGATCACCATCTCGTCGGAAAATATCGCACCCAAGACCTAGCCACATCGATCCTCAATAAGCTCGCTGCCCCGTCACTCCGACGGCGCTGGCTCTACACGTCCACACCAGGCATGCGATCCCGGAATCAAACCAGTGCGTTAGCTTTTCGCATCCCTTGAGTGATTTTCTTATTGACTACTAGCGACACTGTACAAGAGCAAACAGCCGGAAACAATGTAACCTGTTCTACAAGACCCGGATCCCAGGTTGGGACATATGCCAAAGAACCAGAGGCGGGGACGTAAGAAGACATACAGCCATAACCAAAATCCAAGTTTCCATATCAATCTCTGCCCTGTTACCTACAAGGCTATGGTCCTTCGACTTCGTATTGTCGGTAAGATGTCGATACCCAAAGAAGCATAACGTGTGATCGTCGAGAGCCACTACTTTGCCGCCAGCATATTTACCACCCACTCCATCTTCATCGCATCAAGTACCTAGCACTCAACTTGAACACAACGTCAGATATCATACAAGAACGAAGTTGGAAGCCACACGTATATCTTCCTTCCTGAGGCCATCCAATATTTACACAGCACGTATGCCGCTGCCAATACCTCTCAAACACCATCATGGCATCAGTCCTCCCAAATCCCGTGGGCACACTTCTTACATGTTTGGCCCAAGTAAGACTCAATACATGTAGACAGCAATAAGTTCACCCATTGTCCGAAAAGAAAAAGCTCCCATCAAAGCAACCTGAAGAACCTGCCTGACTGTGGCATATTCTAGCAAACTGATTATCATTGCAGCTTAGTTGCCATGTTTGTCACCGAAAGAGCACGTGGGATCTCCGTACACGCACAAATACACACAACGCACAAACTTACCAACTGTAAATCCTTTTTGCACATGATCTGATTTCGTACCACAATTCCACAAAGCACGCACACAGCCCCGACAAATAGAAAAAAACACACACACACACACACACACACACGCACACACATACTTCTGTGACCCATCTCCAGAATTTCGCAGCTCCAACCACTAATACCTTCCCTTTCCCTTCCGGTGGAAAGCCTGCACGAAAGAGAGTCCGAGAGACTGCGAGCCGGAGCTGGCCGACCTGCATATGTGGAGAGAGAGACACACGGGAGCCCCCAAAGAAAAGTCCACCCAAAAATGGGAATTCTTGGCGGGGAGTCCGAAGATCAACCCCGTATTGACATGTCCCTTGCGACTGTCGATCTTTCGGTATAAAAAGACGTTCTTTTGTGGAAACATATGAATTTTTCCAGGGAGGAAAGGATAGGGGAAAAATATAACCATAGCACACTGCCCGCCGTACCCGCCTAGGAGAACCGGACCGAAGGGAAATATTGCGAGACAAAAACGGGTCCTCCGTGGGCGTAGGGGGGACTCCCGATGCTCGGCGTTCTTGGAGACGGTTGCCTCCTCCCACCCGCCGGAATACGAAATGCATTGGCATCTTGGCAAGCACTTGTTGCGGAGTTCCAGGAGACAAGCACACGGAAAACCAAACGAGACAGGGAAAACGAAAAAAAAAGCAAAAAGAAAAAAAAAGAAAAAAAAAGTATCTTGACTCAAAAGAGGACACTTCTTTCGAGACTTGCTGATGCGATGTCGCCATTTGTGGCAGGTCTGCCAAGTCAGAGAGAGGGGTGACCAGGAATCATTCCTGTTGGGTCAGAAACGAAAATTCCGTGGGCGCATTTTGTGAGGCTGACATGTTCGCAACGGGATGGCACAGCTTAGGTCTGAGATCCCCTGAGTGAGATTTGTTGGAATTGGCGACCGTTACCTTAGGTTAGGCTGTCAGCTCTGTGAGAGCTGAAAAGAGAAAAAAAGCCTCATCAGACTTGCAGTAAGCATATGCACTCACTACATGTGCAGCTTGACGAAGCCAACCAAGGACAAGCAATGTGGTGTTGTCCAACCTCTCAAGACCTTAGGCTCATTTTCCCACTTGTTCTGCAAAGCTTCGGCTTTGGCGTTGTCATAAACTCAACTGAAGCGTGCTGCCGCACGCTCGCGCGGGAGATACACAGAGCCCGTGACCCGGCCCCGGGCCGGAACCCTCAGCTCGTGCCCGACCGGTCGGGGTGGACCGAAGCGGACGTGATTGGACTACGTTTCATAGCCCGCACGAACGGGGCTGCAGGCAAGAGGCGGGGGGAAAGCTCTAAATTTCTGGGAGAGGCACGCGTTGCATGGGGCCGAGGGGAACCATAACTTGCAGGTGATTATCGGGGTGCATGCATGACAGACTTTAGATGCGGATCTTCGGTGAGTCGATCAGTTTCGTAGCCGCAGACAACTGATTGTGCACCAGTGCCCGCGGAAGCTGCGCTCTCGCAGGCAGAGATTTCCTCGTCGGCCGGTCCAAAGTTTGATGACGAGCAGTCGAAGGAAGACTTGGCAGGCCTCGTTGAGGCTTGGTTGCGCGCTCGGACGACGTCCCGTGGGATAGCCGTTTGGCAGGCCATTTGGCATTGCCAGCGAGTCCGTCAGACGCTCTGATGAACATGGCCGCGGCTAATGACCCGCTAGGGCTCCCTCGTGGCTGCGTGGCATCCCGCTTGCGCCGCTTGCGGCGACAAAGCCTCCGTCGGGCGTCTGTTGACCGAAGCCATTACGCCTGTGTTAAGCCACTGGCTCAGGTAAGAGTGCTGCGACGAAGGCATGAAGGTTGGGTTGAGGGCCATGTGCGGCGGTCTAGGGCACCTCCCGCGAATCCAGACCCAACCGCTCGATTCAACCCATCCAAGCGTCATGTTCATCGTGGGTTGCAAAGAAAAAGTATGAAAGAAACTTGGTCAAGTGGGGGAAGGCTCATGGGAAGCGCCGGTCCTGCTAGTAGGCGGCATACGCCGGCGAGATTAAGATCGACCCGGAGTTATGGAAGCTGGTAGTGGACGACTACGGCATCGCCTTTTTCGACCCTTGGAAGATCTGGACCCTGGACATCTGATAACCCATCCGGAAACGAGCAGAGGTCTGGTCGAGACTCTGAGCTGCGAAGCGTTCGCGGTCAACGTCGCTTAATGCCAAGCTCCATGTGCCGATTTGCTTCATAGTGGCGGATATTTCCAAACAAAGAACCGCTTCTGGGAGCTCCAAGATTCGACTCCGTACTGCAAAGCTTTAGCTCTCGTACACGCAACCGAGTCATAGGCGAAAAGATGGGCGATTTTGGACCCTGAGCGATGGATGAGTGACGTGGGGAGGCAGGGAATCAATCGCCTCGCAGCGCAGGAGCTCCGGGATGAACAGAGCGTCCTATTCTGACACACGATCATCCGCAATACGGCCGTGGTCAACGGCTATGTCCACTGGCACGACGACACGACTGCACTGACAGTCGGAATTTTTTGCGTTCGCAGGAGCAAGGCAGCAGAATTATGTTGTGGGGAAAGCTGTCTCCGGAGGAAGGCTGTGCGTGTGCTCATCCATAGTCTGACCGTCCGAGCTCGAGGTGTTGGGACGCTGGGAGTCTTGGGGCGGGAAATAGGGGATGATCTGACGTATGGCGCATTGTCGATGGGCCGAACAGGGAGCGGGTTTATGCAGTGACGCGGAGAGTGTTATGCAAATCACCAGCGGTTGGTCTCCGGTCTCTGGCGCTAGCAGAGGTTTCCAAGGCAAGGCTGGGGCCCCAAATGATGGTGGTCGGGATATGCTGTATGTCAGTGGTTCTCTTAGAGTCCTGTGTGCTCAGTGCTGTAGGGGCTTATGCATGTCAAGTTCAGGTGCTCTTGGGTAATTCATCGTCCCATCAGTCGCGCGCGTGAGATGGATGGGACGGTGTGGTTTGTGTCTGCATGGTGGTTGCATTCTCGCGAAGCCGGTTGCGGCCAAGTCAGGTACGGATGCATAAGGTGTGGGATTGAGGTTTAGGTTCGGTTGGGTGGAAGGATCATCGAGATATCCGCAGCCCGAGGCCAAAGTCGACTACGATGCGATGCAGATGCGGATGCAGATGCAGCACCGGCCGTACACGAACGAGCTTGATCTGCTGCAACAATCGAGCACTTGCCATTTGCCAATCCCTTCTGCTTGTGTCGGGCTCGCCTAGACCACGATGCAGCGGGGATTGGCTATGATCGTGGAAGTAGGTCTCGACTGTTGATGTCAAATAAAAGAGAACAAAGAGGGAGAGATATAGGGTATCGGTATGGACCGGATGACAGGAACAAGACGCCGAAACGGGAATAGGTACGAAGTAGGTATTCGTAGCGTGATGCGGTTCAAGACCCGA